TATTGACTACATATTTGCTTTCTCCACGATCGTTCTACTGACTCATTTTATTTAACATCATTCAACACTTGCATAGATCATACTCATTAAAAACGTGACAACAACCTTAAATGATGAGGCACACGTCATTTAGGTAAATTTGTGTTCTTCAGCATATAATGTGTGCCTGGAGGATTACGAAATTATATGTAAACAGTACTTATGATATAACCTTCACAGTTTACCAGTCTACCTGGCAGCCCTAAACCTGAAAAAAGAAGGGCTGGACGTGAGGCTAGCGATCCTTCCCAAGAAAATCAATCCATTTTCTACGGAAAGTCCAAAGCACAAAAGACACTAAAAAGCACATTCCTTGCTGGAATCGGAGGAACGGAGTGGTGTGGTCCGGTGAAGGCCTTCGTGAAGCCTGTTAGCTAATGCGCTTTCTTTCAATGACAGCAAAGGTAAGCATGGAGCCTTGAAATATATGAAGCCACAAAGGCTGCCCAGGTCACCAAAGAAATAAGAAGATATTGAATGTAATCCTAAAGATCTTCTAGAGTAGGTAGAGTGGAACCGGCCTCTCCAAATCATCAACCAAAGAGTCAATAATTTGTTATGGTCACCCACAGGATAGTCACTAGCACACTGGTGAAGTGGTTACCATGATGTAATCAGCAGTAGCCATGACCCCGCGTAGTTTCTTAGAGATCGTTTATGACCAAAAGCGCATAACACGACATAGTGTATAGTGTAAATGCTGTCTACATAACTCCTGTCACCTAAATTAATAAAATAAAACATCATGCATCATCCAGTACCATGTGACTTCAGGGGGTACCCTCAAGGAAGTTTATCGATAATGATCTGTCAAGTACTCTTATTATTATATCCAGAATAAAACTCATAGATTCAGCATAATTGTAATAACATATATTGAGTAGCGGGCTTCTCGACAATATTCAGAAGAGAGATCCACTCATTACTACTTAGCAGATGTTTCAAATTATCAGTGAGGTGGCTTGTGGATAAGACATTTCGTGACTAATATGCTTTGAACTCATTATGAATGGATAAGATACTCATTGTAATCATGGCCGAAAACAGTTCTATCCTCTGAAACTAGTTCACTTCCCAAAATCGTCGGTCACGGGCCAGACTCATCCAGCTGAACCCTGATCACTTTGCCTTCAACCGTCAGTTTCCTTATGTGTGCTGACTGGATCAGCTTTTAGGCAAATGGGTTCTAAATACATGAGAGAGAGGCTGTGCGCTATGGTGCGATTGTATATCACTGTATTTTATTCATACCATGGTTAATAAATACATCCTCGAACAGCTGTACAGTTTGTATTCACCCTTCGCTAGCCGGAGTGTTACCAGTCTGGCCACCAAGTTGGGTGTGCCAAGCGAAAGAGTTGGCAAATACCGTGACGAAACCTCAGGTCTGACAGAATAGATGGCTACAACAATCGCAAGAGTTAGTTTAGTTGAAGTCGATCGGAAATGAGCTCAAAGTCATTCAGGCAGCCTAACTAACTGATTTCCTACCACCTTTCCCAGACAAGTGATAGAAATGCATCCTGGCTTTGCACTGGAGTGTCAACAAGATAATTAAACCATTTAAATCTTCTAACTCTAACTCTTAACTTGACATTCCTTTAACCTAGCCCTAACGCGAAACTGTTCACAAACTAACTCTAATTTAACTTGAATCAATCCTAGTGTCTCACCTATCAGGTTAGCCTAGCTTTGAATTTGTCATTCCTAAACTTAACTTAGAGATTAACAGATAACTCGTTTGCTATCAAAACACTTCATTTGGCGTATCCGATTTATGATTCTAGTATTGTTTTCCCGGTTTCGCCCACTCGGTCACTCACTATTTCAACGTCATCGGTGCGATCATGATTCTGTGGTACAAAAAAATCGACTTAGCCATGTCATCGTTAGCTCTATCCCTTTATTCTTTGAAGCTAACTATGAAAGCCACAGGATTGATGTTGACTTCTTGGATTATGAACCACTGGAAAATGTTGCTCGAACCGATAATTCACACTTTCTCTCAGGATTCTCCCAGAAATTTGCAGATAAATGAGTTATTCAATGTATCTGCGATATTGTTCTTAGCATCCAAACCAAATTGGCTCAAATTATCCCGCACGCACAAGGCCATTTCTATACACGTTACTCGGCCTTGTTGGATTGCAGTTTCATAATCGCTCGTTCACTTACTGGTTTTATCTTTATCCGGTGGTCTTTAACAGCTAATACCAATGTATTTGTTCCACATCCCTTTGGTTATCACTGCCGTTAAAACCGGTCTTTTCGTTTACCTCAAAAGTTTCTGGTACCAGATTGGCTGTTCATCTCGTTAAAACTGTTTCATACGCCACTTTCACGCTTCATTGCGGTGTTTTAATTATTTTTAAGCCTTTATTGGAATATTATTATGCGGAGATTTTTGAAATTAGGCATATGAACACGCTCTTTCAGCACAAGCTGCTGTTTCCATTTCCGTTGGTTGCTGTTACTGTTAATGATTCAAACGGTTTATAGAAATATGGAGGAATAAGGCCGATGTTTATAGCCTACAATCACCTGCAAGCCAATCTGGTGAAGAAAGCGCTGTCAGAGTCGACATTATCAGAATTTTCAAAGCACATATTGGATCCAGAGCATTTAGAACCCGGGCTGAGATTGGAGAGGCCGTGAAAAGTTTCTAGAAGGTGACTATAAAGTGAGTGAGTCTAATGGCAGGTAACAAACACCTGACATGTTCTCAAAGAATATAAATTAAACCGCGATGAACCTCATCTGAAGGATAAATATACGGTGTTTTCATATACTTTTGAAAACAAAATGAAATTTGAAGAGAGTCAGAAACGTCATTAGGAATAAGAGTGATTCATAGTTGTTGTAATTTATGTAGGGTGTCAGCCACGTCTCGTAAACCGTCAATGCCCAGCTCTTGCTACGCTGGGACTCACGCCGTTCCTTGAAGTTTCTCAGAAACGCTTAGTAATAACGGATGCAAAACCAAAGCACCGATTGGCTACTCAAGAATTCTTTATTGTTACATCAATATATAGCCAACTTTAAAATTAAGCTTTAACTAAGGTCTATGAACAAATATTACGATAATAAATCACAATATTACTTCTGGAGGTTTTGGCCTGACTTCTTTCTGAACAGCGACCGATGAGACGATGACTGGTGTATCGATGTCTCCGCGGAAATATAGGGAAGTTGGGTTTGAGCAAACAACCATGAATTGATCGTTCAATCATCAACTACATTGACATAGGGTATGAATCGTAAAGAGGATATATCACCAGAAACTTTCGCAAAAAACATAAAGCTCACAGGGAGCGCCATCTCACTCACGTAATCTATGTGGCAGATCTAAATACACTGAGTACCAGTCAGTGATGCGCATCCGACGTCGGTGCAATAAATTCATGACTCCGTCTATATGTGATTCACAGTCACTGTTGCACTCATGGATATTTAATGAATGATGCTAAAACTCTGAGATTAAATTAATCAGAATTTACTGTATTGAGACCAATGTTACCTGCTTCATCAGAACCGAAAGAGGTCATCGAATATGTTTCGGAACGATTTAAAAGTTGGGTGACATGTGATGACTCACTTTGTATAAGAACTACTGTGGTTGAATGTAAGGCTTCGGTTAGAAAGTATAATCCTTCAGATTGTAGTGCGCAGCCGGCGACTTTTCAGAGTGTATATAATGCCCATGAAAACTTGAAATATATTTTGTCATAACGACAGCTCCTTTTCTAAACTTAACTGGAGAAATAATTTTTGACAAAATTATACGAACAGATGGTAACTTAGGGTATACAATAGCTGCGAAACGTTTGCACTTTGTTTCGAGTCTATATCATGTGTCTTAACTGTATGTCATAAGATATACGTATCTATTATGCTTATGAGGATAATGCCACATAATTCGGCCTAGATATTGAATTATCACATAACGTCTGTGTCATTTCATCTAAACCGAAATCTCGAAACAAATTCATCCCCAATATGGGTGGTCAAAAACATTAAAACATAGACATTAAGTATGCAGTATCGAAGAAAATGGTATGACAGAGTACGTTGACAACGATAGAGCTTCCTATATTCAGTCCTCAGAATGAACACAATTCATTCGCGTCGTAATGCCATATATTGAACTAATGAATGAGGCCATTTATTATTACAAATTACGCTGAGAGTTACCTTCACTTCACTACACTTGCAACGATCATGAGAACAACTTGTATTTGTTAGCCGAGCCAAATAAAAAGCAAACAATGACACAACGTTATTGAGCTGCAGGAATGTTTTATACATTGAACCTACATAACCCATATCACTTTACAGCGATCAGTACAATTATCCGTTAAATCCATCCATAGATAACCTTGCAACTTAAGATAATTTCTATCCATACACACAAAGTGAAACACATCTACATGATAACTTTGTTCTCAAAGTAAGTTCTGTTAATATTTTTAGATTATTTCCATGTACTGATAACGTTCAACTGTCAAATGGTGCTCCGCTTTACGTGAAAAATGTTGCACGGATGTCCTGATATATGTGAATTATTCATAGAATGATACTATGCCATAAGGCGCAGCTTTCATATAAGGTACACTATTTAAGTACATGATATTGCCCACCAATTATTACATCCCTCTCATTAAGGTAGAATTTCAACAAAGTTCACATTAGAAACAAACCCTTGCAACTAATATGCTAAGAGTGTGTCACAGTCAGATAACATAACGCATAAACCGATATATAATGCTGGGAAATAAGAGTTCCCACCAGTCCAGACAAAAAATATAGTGCTTTTATAAAATATTACCTAAAAAATTATTAGGAGAAATTTTTACCAACTGGATATGTCCAGTCACCAAATTTTTGAGTTGTCCTCGCGATATTGGATATTGAATGGCTGCTTAGACTCTCCGCGTTCCCGAGCCTATTTCAAAGTTTTATTCATGTCTACTGATTTAGTTGAAGGGAATGTATTTAGTTATGAAAACTGTGTTGTTCTATCTCAGTTAGACAGGTAAGAAGAGAAAATTGAAAATTCCTATAACCCTATTTTTATGCATTATCTCTACTGTCTTGTCATGCAAACACTCGACATTTTGCATACCAGTGTTTGTGATTACTGGGTATAGAGTGATACTAATTTTCTAGGTGTCTATTCACAGTTTAAGACGTAATTTTTAAAATGCCAGTAGTTAGCTTTCGATTCGTTGCTCTCCGTATGCTGTTTGTCTGATAGTAATATCTAGTGGGGCTGTGGTATGTAGAATATTTTGAGGGGATAGACAGGGCAGACAAGATGAAACAATAATGTCACTTGTAGTCATATTGCCTTCTCCTAATAGATACGTCTAGACTGTTCTTTCATTTGAGTATTCAGTAGCTACGTGGAATTCTAACGTGAATTTTATGCAGAAGTTAGTTTTTTTCCAAATCAAACTTTTACAAGTGTATCTATGTGGTATGATTTTTTATATGTATGCCTTTGAAAGGTGAAAATTTTCTTTTAGTGTGTGATCGCAGTGTTAGCTAGCGTATCCAAGACACGTTTTGAAGGATGACAGCTACCTCAACTCTAGCAATTCACTGTAATATGACAATAAAGTTTAAATAGGAACAGTTTATTGAAAGGCGATATGAAGAAATTAAGATTTAGTCACAAAATATAATACAACTTGCCGTCATCCATCTACAAAGTGATTAAAAGTATTTTCCAAAGTTATAGACTAAATATGATTCAGCGTTGTGTAACTGGTTCTCTAGACCCGGACTTTGGCTAACCTGAGTAGTTGTTTTATTATTTATTATTGCTCCCTTGGGTTCCTAGTGGAACATAGGGCTTCAAATGCATGTCTCCATTTTCTTCTGTCTTCTGCTGTACTTTTCGCCTGCATCCATGTTAGTCCATATTCCTTCAACTCCTCTTCACACGATCTCCTCCATGTCACCCTTGCACCGACGTCCCACACGCCGCTTCCCTTTCGGGTTCCACTCGAGGGCTTGACGCGCGATGTCACCCAGCGGTCTCCTCAGCGAGTGTCCAATCCATCTCCATTTTCTCCTGCATATTTGTTGGGCGATTGGTTCTTGCTTTGTTTGTTCCCACCCATAGTTTCTTGTTGGTGATTCTTTCCGGCCCGGCCATCTGATCTTCAGTATTAAGCGAAGACCGTTGCTAATAAAGGTCTGCAACCTTTTGGAAATATTCTTTGTGACCCGCCAAGTTTCTGATCCGTATAGAAGGACTGATTTTATGTTTGTATTGAAAATCCAACTTCAAATTGAAGTATGCGCTGAAGATGTCACCCAGTAAGGTGATGAAAGCTTCGCAAACTAACCATCCAGCTCAGAGAACAAAACCACATCAAAATCATCCACCTGAGCTACAAATCTTCTCTATAATATCTAAATCCGAATTTTGTTGGTGATGCTGAGTGACGAAGATTTCCAGATTGATTTCAGGCTGATGAATGTGTTTCTCGCCTTCTCGATGTGACATCCTCGTCCGCTCCTCCTGTAGTTGAGACAATGCTCCCTAGATAAGTGAATGAAGTAACCTCTTTCAAATCCCTCCCGTTGATGGTGATTGACGTTGGATGTTGTTGGTTGGTTATTTTCATAACCTCCGTCTTGTCTATGTTTACCTGGAGTCCTGTCTTCTCTGCTGCTTCTTCGACCAGTTTGTCGGTTTTCGCTTGTAAGTCTTCGATTGTGTGTGACATCAAACATAAATCATCCACGCGCGAAATCCAGGTCTTCTAGGTTCTTCACGTCGGTCCAGGATATTCCTGTCTTCTCGTTTCCCACTAGTCTGACGCATAATCCAGTCAGTCCACCACAATTAGGAATATCATTGGTGATAATAAGCACCCTTGTCTGACTCCTGTGTTTACTCCAAACGCCTCGCTGAGTTTTCCGTTGTGGATCACTTGACATGCGCCGTTGTCGTACAGCTGTTGAATAAGGTTGATGAATATTTGGGGTACGCCATAGTACTCGAGTAATTTCCAAATTACTTCACAGTCAACGCTGTCGAAGGCCTTCTCAAAGTCTATAAAGTTGAGGTAGAGGTTTGATTGCCATTCCATGCTTTGTTCTGTGATGATGATGCGTAGAGTTGCAATTTGGTCAGTACATGATTTGCCTTTCCTGAATCCAGCTTGTTCTGGTCGGAGTTCTGTCTCCAGTGCGTCCTTTAATCTCTCCAGGATGATGCGACTCAGGATTTTACTTGGCGTCGATAGGAGCATGATTCCTCGCCAGTTCTTGCAGAGTGAGGCGTAAGTCGCCCTTCTTTGGTAGTTTCACGAGGTAACCTTTCCTCCAGTCAGTAGGCACCTTTCCCTCCTTCCAGACCTTTTGCAATAATGGAGTCAGCATGTCTGCTGTCGTCTCTGGGTCCGCTTTCAGTGCTTCAGGGGGTATTCCATCTGGTCCGGCTGCTTTTCCAGCTTTCAGAAGCTTGATTGCATTCAAGACTTCAGCTCTCGTTGGAGGATTGGTGTCAACTTGCAGTTGTGTGCGTGCTGTTGTTGGTATTTCTGGACGGGTTGCAGGTGATGGTCGGTTCAAGAGTCCTTTGAAGTGATCCGCCCATTGTTTAATCTGTTTTTCTTCCTTGGTAATTGGTTTCCCTTGGCTGTCTTTTATAGGTTTCGCTTGTGTTGATCTCTTCCCGGATAGAGATTTGGTTATCTGATATAGTGTCCTCAGGTCCCTTTTGCCTGCTGCCTTTTCAGCTTCAGTGGCCAGGTTGTCGTAGAATCGTCTTTTGTCCTTCCTAGCACTCTTCTTCACTTCTTTGTCCAGTGCTGTGTAAGTTGAGCTCAGCGTCTCCTTCTCCTGTCCGTCCTTGCATTGAATCATTTTCTCTTTCACCATTCTCCTCTCTTCTATTAATTTCCAAGTGTCCGTTGAGAGCCATTCCTTGTCTTGTCTCTTCTTTCTTCCTAGAACCGTTGAACACGTTTCGTTGAGAATCGCCTTCAGAGACTTCCAATGTTCTTCCACGCATGATTCTTCAGTGATGTCGCGTAGTGTTTCCTGCTTTGCTCTGACAGTTGCAGTGAAGGTGTCTTTTGTGGTTGTGTCCTTCAGTTTCTGAGTGTTGAACTTGCATTGTGGCCTATCCCCAGCTATCCTCGAGGCTTTTAGTTTCACCTTGAAAGTCCCTTGTACTAGATAGTGGTCTGAACCCACATCTGCTCCTCTCCTTGACCTTGTGTCCAGTAGGCTCCGTCTCCACTTTCTTGAAATTGAGATGAAGTCTATTTGATTCTTGGTGTTTCCATCTGGTGAAATCCATGTCGTCTTGTGTATATCCTTGTGTTTGAACACACTACCACCAATCACCAAATCATTGAAGGCGCAGAAGTCTGAGAAGAGTTCACCATTGTCGTTCATTTCGCCGAGGGCCTCACGACCCATGGTGAGTTCTCTTCCTGTGTTGTCTCCTCCCAGCTTCGCATTCATGTCGCCCATCAGGATTTTGATATCGCCATTTGGGACGTTGTCCATTATTGCTTGTAGTTGTCTGTAGAACGCCTCCTTCTTCTCTTGTTCTGAGACGTTTGTAGGCGCATAGCATTGAATGACTGTAACTTTCCTTCCTTTTGAGTTGAACCTGGCTGTCATTATCCTGGAGGAGATTGGTTCCCACTGCATGAGAGCTTTGGTTGCTGTTGGTGACATCATGATGGCCACTCCCTCGGTGTGCTCATGGTTGTCCTCTGGGTGGCCGGAAAAGATTACTGTCTCTCCAGTAGGTAGTTGGCACCTTCCAGTTCCGTTCCATCTGCTCTCGCAGATTCCCAACACTTCTATTCTGTACCTTCTCATTTCAGCGGCTATCTGGGCAGCCTTTCCAGTTTCGTACATTGTGCGAACATTCCAGGTACCCATCCTTACTTTTGCTTTCATCGAAAGAAGGCACATCGGCTGACTGGCTTCCCGAAGGCTTTCACCAGCCTGCGTCATTTCACTTCCCCGATTCCAGCGAAAAGTAAGGCTATTGCTTATGTTTTTAGAATTTTTAATATATTTATTCGTTGAAGTTTCTGTAGCGATTTGGTTGTTTTACAGGGGTGGAGTTGCTAGCACCACGCCCCAACCCTCCCTCTTTACCCGGGCTTGGGACCGGCGAGAAAACTAGTAAGCTAGTAGCCTAGCAAGCTAGTATCTGGCGAGGCGGATGCGAACCACCGACCTAAGTTGTTTTATGCTACCTAACATTGCTGACTTCCTAATTTTACCCACCCTTCACTGCTTACTGTGAACCTTTGGAATTTCTTGAAACGTTCTCGCACTTTTTCGCATGCAGATTTTGAGGAGATTCATCTATATGCATTCACTAATTCTAAAAGCCTACTTTAATTTACTAACCTTTTGTGGTGACGTAAAATAATATCTAATACTCTCTTTAAATTAGGTGTGAGGTTGTTTCATGATTCTTAAGAATAAGTGTCGCCCTTGCATCCCCTTCATTATCAAGTAATTCCCATAATATATAACCCGAAGTTAAACTGTTGTAGTTATTGCGGCATGGTCTTAGCGATTGAATGCCGTTCTTATCGTGTATCTCAACAGTTAAAATTTCTTTTCGTCGCCTGTCTTCAGTTCCCTGTTTTTTAACATAATATTGGGGAACAACTTAAAAGACTAGTTTCCGTAATCCCTTCCACCAATAGAGGAATGAAAGTTGAGTTAGTATAGTTTATTTTGGTTGAGGCTTTTTTGTGTTGTTTCCTGCGGTACTTTTTGTGTCTTGATTCATTTGGTGAAATGCTATATACCGTGTTATAGTGTTATGCTGATTAGACTCTACGTTTCAATCAATGCTAGGAAAATACTGCTAAAATAGGCGAAAATTTGTTAATAATTTCCTTTCGGTAATTTTACTTCCCCTTCTGCTTTGACTTTGATTTCACAAGGTACCCATAAATAAACATCGTAGTAAGTCTGTGTGAGAAAAAATTACAGTACTATATTTTTTACCATAGGTTTCATTTGAAGAGTCTGCAATTGTTTAAATAGTGGCAAAATATTTCTCTATTTCTCTTGTTTAAAAATATACTTGGAGCAGTTTGTATGATTGATCTTCTCTACTACTGCCTTTTTTAGTTTGGAATTTGGTGTTTTCAAACTAGACGCTTCTGAATCACATGAACGTCGCGAATTACTTGAAAAGGTGATTGATGTCACATATCTGATGCATTTCTTAATAGGCAGTGGACTACTTTGATAGTATAATCTCTCAGACTGTCTTAGAAGTTGAGGAAGAACGTGCTATAGAAGAAAGTGAAGCTCTTACTAAAGTCGAGACAGGTATCTTAGAGGAGAATTCAAACACAGTACGATACAGGATATACGAGAAATACGCAGCGCGCCTTGAGAAACTTATTGAACCACAAATTTACCTATATCTTGGACATTTCCAGCTGTTGCTTAATCGCTTTGACGACGCACTATCTGCTTATCTCAAGTTTGAATCTCTTTGTCCGAAACAATCTTCAGTCAATTGTGCTTTCCTCTACGGACTAGGTCTGTGTTGTTTTCGCTTCAATGCTTTCAACAGGTATGTCAGATATTCTTTCAGAACAGTCTACTCACTGTTGCAGGACAATAAAGCTATTCCAACAAATTTTATATCTTCAACCTTGGTTCCCAAAGTGCAAAGAAATACATATTCGTCTTGGTTACATTTACAAAGTACAAAATAATTTTGAACGAAGTTTACGACATTTTCGACAAGCTCTCAACGACTCTACACCCGGTACATTTAATCGAGTTGAATGTTTGTTTGTCTTATTACTAATTAACAAATTTTAGTACGTTTTCACATTGCACATTTGTTCGAAGTGTGTGGTAAACCCAAACAAGCGAAAACTGAATACTTCCAATTGTTAGATACTGAGAAAAGTGACGCTCCGCCGCATATCCGACATCTTTGTCTACGACAGTTAGGTATGTCTTTTTGGTTATCGTTTGTTTCTGATTGGGGTACTACATTAACTTGATCATTTGGTATTTACTGCGCTACTTGCCATTGTTTTCATTTGTTTTGTACACTGTGTAAGGTCAGAAATTAGGAATTATGGCAGAGTCATTCCATATTAGTTTGTTCAATAGACGTGATAGCGTACCACTATCAAATAAAAAAAAAACTAATATGAATTTAACTTTGAAATGAATACATTTGTTTTCAAATTTCGCTGTGCAGAAATGTATGACCTGCCATAACTTTAAAAATTGAGGCCGACAGCGTTTATTTCTTCAAGAGAAAACATAATGCTTAGTTGGATTGTAAGGTGTTGATCTGTGGTAGTGGTTTTGTTATCTTGGTGTTCTCGTTGACATGGTCAAAAATCTATATCGCTGATACGAATGTAATCAAACTATCTTCAAAATACTGCTTCACTATTATTCACTTTTATATGTTTCACTTAATTACTTATTTCACGTCTCTATTCTTCATATTCTGTTGCCAGGCCTCATGACCTGAACCGTTTCACTCTTTCGTGAGGTTCTACACGTTTAAGGGAAGATAAGCTTCACATAGAATTGAAGTCAACTGATAGCTTGCAACTAGCCTGGTTTCCCATCATAAGATCTTGAACAGGATTGATTATCTTTAACAGTAGCTCTTATCACTAATTGTAGACTTCATATATTCGTTGATAACAACAGTGATTGAAATCTCTTTCAACATAGCTTTTAATTAATAATAAAACTTCCTTCACAAATGTATAATCTTTTAGTTCAATGATTGATTTTCGTCTCAGACAACTTTCCAAAGGTAAGAATAGTCAAGTATCTAAGGCTCATAATATGCATCCATTATATAGAATAATGCAGATTTCTGTGGACAAATAAACTTATTAACATATTACCTGTTATTTAAAATTTTCACACTTCGAGTTAGCACGTAAAGCAGATCCGATCAATTATAGAATAATGCTGAAATATGCAAGAATGACAACTGTAATGTCAGTGGAATTTAAATAGTCAACTTTCAAGATACTCACAAGAAAACATACTAACCAGACTATGGTCTAACTGCTAACTAGATCTCAATCTTGATGTGACTGAAGCTTTTATGGTTTTCCAAGTATTGGTTCTTAAACTATGTCGGAATACATTCAAGCAACTTTAACTTTTATACATTCCTCAGAAAAATAATCGTGAACATACGACTTTAATGTTGTTTCGGTCTGAGAGCTCTAACTCGCGTTTCAGAATATAACCTTTCTCGGATTTGTTGTTCCTTAACTACAGTTAAACGTTGCATTATTACTAACCCTTTTGATTTTGGAAACTGTATTGAACAATCTCATTGCTTTGTGGTTTTCACAATAGGGAGTTTTGCTTTTCTTGACTACTGGAATAATCATTGATTGATAGCAGACAAAGAGAGTTATGCACGACTCCTTTCTCTCAGCTTAAAAATTGGATAACTCTCCTGTTAATACTGATTTACCATCCCTAAGTACTTCTGGGAGTAACCTATTAATTCATCTACCATCCCTAACTTAAAATTGCATTCCTCTGAACATTGACGAGAGTTGTAACTCGTTCTTCAGTAACATAAAATGTTTATTTGACCAAGGACAGTGATATAGTATTGTTATTACTTTACTGTGTAAAGTGACAGGTATAATAGAATGCTCGTAATCATATCTGTATAATCCCACTATTTCCTACAGTTAGCTTCTATAGGCTATTTGTTTCTGCTTTTTACCTGTCAATATTTTCTCCAAACTGCTAGTTAGTTAGAAGCCAGTAGAACTAATTATCAAAATGTTCCACTTATTGTTCAGTTTTTCTGAAAACCTCTTTGTTATTAACTTGTTGGGTTAAATCATCCCTAACAGCTAAATGTTCAACGGCTGCGTTTGTGTTTAGTCTTAATCACTTTTGTACTCATTTCCATTATCATATTTCTTTTTATGATAAAAGTATCTTTGTAAGCGAACAGCATTCTTTCGACTGCCTGTTGTTCTTAGTTCAATCACCACATAGGTGTCTAGTGCTTAATGTACAACTGAATATTATGTGATTGGTTTTCATAAAGAATTTCCAAATACTCTTATCGGAATGCAGTGAAGTCGTCTTTCTATGCTTATTATCGGTATCAAGTAGGTGAAACGTTTTGATCTAAATATTTCGGTACCTCAACAAAAATGTATTTCATACCCGACTGTATTATATATATATATACTCATGTGTTGCATTTCATGGATTTGATTGGTTTCATGTTAGATCACGAACTGATTTCATTTCGAAAACTATGAAAAACCAGGTAGTACCGGACATCTGTTTCTTTCTAGTTTGGGACTCTTTCTGATCCTAATGAGGATCAAATCCAAGACCTTCATATCATACAGTCTCTCAGACTTAATCCAGCGGCCCATAAATTCTAAATTCTGCCAATTTGCGACTATCTAAAACAAATTGTATTCCTTTGTGTTCACAATGCAATATTGGGCTTCAAGCTTCAGCTTTGAATTTTCAGTAGCAGTGGTGTTTATTTCTACGGGGTGGGGTTGCTAGTCTCACGCCAAACTTTCCCTCTTTATCAGGTTCACGACCGGCTAGGTGAGGTAAAGATGTGCGTCGTCCGGGAGTCGAACCCCGGACCACATGCATGGTTGGTGAGCATCCTACCGCTGAGCTACCGACGCGATATATATAAATATATATATATATATATATTATCTAGCTTCTACTCTAAGATATTGTGATTTTATTTCATTTGTAGCTTGGCTTCATCATACAGGTGCTCTTGGACCAAAACCTGAATCGCCTAATGAAAAAGGCCTGGATGTACAGTGGTTACAAAGTGCTCTGGAATTAGACAATACAAATGGTAAGACCTGGTATCTACTAGGTCGTTGCCAGGCTGCTTTAAATCATGTTCAAGAAGCTTTTGCCGCGTATAGAAGTTCTATAGACAAAACGGAGGCTAGTGCAGATACCTGGTGTGTTATTTTTTTTTTAACAATAAGAACACCCTTGGTTTTCTAAAATTCAAGTTTTATTCACATTTGTTGCTAAATAACTGATAAGTATTCTAAACAATTCAGATTAGAAATAACCAGATGATACCATGTGTAATGTTTATCTTGTTAATTAGGGGAACCCTTATCTGACTGTACATTTTGGTTCATATTTATTTGAGATTGAATACTGTTGTATTTCTGCTTTTTCTGATCATTTAAAACAAATTATCTCATCTCAAGGTGCATATAATCAGCGGTTTAAAAAAGCTCTCACTTTTTATAAACTACGTTGTGTTAATAAAAATCGAAGGTGTGCTAGATTTGAAATTTCTGATATCGACTCACTTTGTTTAGTTATCTGTAGTTGGAGGTATTTAAACCTAGATTTTGTGGTTTTTCTGAAAAATTTAACGTCTGTTAAAATGAACTTTGAGTTATACACTACTTATTGACTTAAATGAGTAGTTTGACACTACTCACATCAATCAGTAGTGTTTACCACCCAGATCAAAGTGATCTAAACATTGGACTACCACTTTTATTAATTGGGGGCTTAGTTCACCACAGGTCTACCCGTTTTGGCTCCGTTTCGAAGGGATATACTACCCGAATCCTGGCTAACTGATTGGGTGAACTGGTAATATATTGAGTCAAATCCTGTGTCTAAGATAGTTTCGATGTAGCGCGGAAGCAGTACTGGTTGGTGTAAGCGCTATCCAACTACTTGTATCAATCATTTGGTAGTACATAGCATCATGCAATAGTGCTCGCTTTCTTGATAAACTTATAAAAAGACAGGAATACTCGCCTACGTAATAATCTGACTGGTTTAAATACTGTATGTGATAGAGTGTACAACAAAACTCACCTTGAATGTTACACTTCTCTTTATGGTATTGTTTAATAGGTACTAATTATCTTGAATCACTGAGAATTCCGAATAGTTTTACTCTTAACTAAATTCCATATTAATTTGTTTATTGAATATATGGCACAGTAAAATAACAGTAATTTACTGGATGACGTTTCGAACACAATTTATTGTTAGTAGTTATATCACTTGTGTAACTGCACAACTTTGAAATTTGATTCTTATAGTCCTCTTTCTTCCCCTTCATTTTTTCTAGAGATATTAAGATTTTCCAGACGTCTGAGGCAGTTGCTGAGTCACTCCCATCACACTTATTTTCAGCTAACTTGATAAATGATGCTTCCTCTATCAACCTTTCCCTCCATCCTCCTTTGCTGGATCTCGGGACTGTCATCTTGTTCCACTCTATTGTATGGTTGTGTACATTCGCGTGTAGTACTATACCTGAGCTATTTTCTAGATTTCTTATCTTATTAAAGTCAACAAATCTAGATTTTTGTAGGTTTTTATCCCACCCCGCCGTCATCCTGCTACTTTGGCTTATGTATTCGGTCTCACAAACATTACAGGCTATTGTATAAACTAAGTTATTGTGTTTAATGGTCCCCCACAGAATCATCATCATCATCGTTGTCAGTTTTCTAATTACAAAATAAATTTCAAATGCAGGTTATTACTCACTGATTTCTCTTCCTTTTCCTTTTCTTCAGGTGTTCCATTGGTGTGCTCTATCAAGAGCAGAACCAACCAATGGATGCTCTTCAAGCTTATTTTTGTGCTGTACAATTGGATAAATGTCATGTTGCAGCATGGGCTAATCTTGGTACATTATACGAAAGTATGCAACAATATAAAGAAGCCTTAAAATGTTATAAAAATGCAGTAAATGCTGATAAGAATAATGAGGTTTGTGTAGTATACACTGTTATTAATTAATTAATTAATTTTTTACATCTTATACTCAACTTTACTGTGTAAAGTAAAGCTCCAATATAAAAATTTTGCGTTTCGTTTAAATCATTCCCGTTGACAAGCTGGATTCGTGACCTAAAGTCCTTGGGTTCGATCCTCGGTGAGGTTATTGGTGCTCATTGCTGAAGAGTCCCAAACTGGGATGAAACAACTATCCAGTAATCCCTGATTTTCAGTGTTTCTGCGACTGATTTCAGTTCGCGATCAAAGTTGAAATCATTCTTGTGATTATGTTTGTTTGGATGCATAAGTTTTAGAGTGATTAAACTGATATATTCGTGTGTGTTTGGTGTTTAAGCTACTTGTCTAGTGCATTCAGCAAATTGGGAACTAAGCGTTCAAAACTCTTGATAACATAACACGAGATATATTCATCTTATGAATTATCAAGATCTTATTAATCCTCATACATTTGTTCTGTATTACAACTCAATATTCCTTTTTTTTCATAGTCTAGTTGAGCTGTGGTTCACTTTTAACTACTGGATCAGGGGTTCCAACCCCGCTACACCTACCCAGTTTTAGACAGCGAGGTGGTATCGTTTATCCTCACTGCCACGTGATGCTTTGGTGGTTTAGTGGTGGGAGACCCGCGAACCACGCACGTGGTCCAGGTTTAACTCCCAGTCGTCGCACTCCTATACTTCACCTGGTCAATAGTAATCCTAGAAAAGAGAGGAGGTTGAGCTCGAAGCTAGCAACCACATTCTGTAAAACAATGCTAAGATTGCTGAAACTTTAGTGCTCAAGCTTGAAGCCTAATATTCCACTCGGAAAGCAAGGGAATTAACTGCTCTCCCAAGATGGGTATTCATACAACATAGTTTTTTTAAATGTAAATAATTAGTGTTGGTTTGCACAGTTATTGGTGAATACGCTGTAAGCACTGAAAGCTTTTTTTTACTTGGAAAAAGGTTGTTGACTTCAGTTTGGCTTCTTTTCACTCTTCATCGTCATCTTAAGTCTCTTCTTACAAAAGAGCATTGCTTACATTCTTAACTTTATGGCAAATTTTTAAAGAATTTTAAATACTAATATTGATTGAATATACTCAGTGTTTGTTCTTTTCACACACGTAAAGCGTTATATGTACTTAAAATGCTTATGTAATGTCTTACGGTCATCGCTGTATTCATGTATTCCCTTTCACTAGGTTCGTCCTGAGATTCGTTCTCGTTTATCTGTATTACAACAATTGGTGCCAAAACTATCGGAGAAAACCACTGGTAACCTATTGAATGGTACTAACAACAATGGAGCTACATCTAATCAAGGTGGTAATGGTTCCGGTCAAGCACCTGGTGGTGGTGTTGGTGTTGGTGGGATAACCAAATTACCAACAGTTGATGAAGCCTGGAGTTTACCGATACCAGCTGAATTGACTCAACGTCAACTTCAATTAATGTTACAAGAAGCAGCAGCTTCCAATGATACTGGAGGTGGTGTTGTTGGTTCTTCTAAACGTTCTGAAAAACACTTAGCAGGTCTTCTATTAACGCCTTCTTCTCCTTCACAATCACTAATTAGGAAACGCAATAGTTGGCGACAATCTGAATGCAACAGTAAGACTTTTTATTCACATGATAATTGGATTCTTTTTTTTATGCTTTCTCATTCCAAGTAAAATATAAAGCTTCAGGTTTCAGTAGCGATGGAGGTTTTGCCTTTACGGGGTGGGGTGGCTGCTAGTCTCACACCAAACCTTCATCTTCTTCCGGGTTTACTACCGTCTAAGCGAGGTTTCCGGAGGGCATCTGCAACCCATATGCATGGTTGGAGAGTATTTATTATATTACTGATTATCTTCCCTCAAAAGCCTCATAAAAGAGTAACTTCATCTTCTGGTAATATACGTGATAATTTATAAACTATATCAGGTGCATTCTACCCACAACTTCTTCTATTTACCTCATCATTGTTACTATCAGGTGTTTAAAACCTTGTACTACTATATTATTATTATCATTATACGCATTCATACGGAGAACTGGTTCATCGGCATAAGCACTCGGTTTTCAGTTGACGGGTCACGGATTGGAGTCTCACTCTGCCTAATTCAGCCTGAAAATAGGTGTCACCAGCCCTCACAAGATAAATGTGACTCTTAGTCTGTTACATGATGAATTTGATTCCTGTGCCTGAGCTTAAACCAAAATATGTGCATACTCATGGGGTCAGTTAAGATTATTTCGATTATGGGATGGATATTCTGGAATTGTGTTGCCTTGATGATAGGGCAAGGTTTTTCAACGACTTGTAATAATAATAATAATAGTTTGCTTTATTCCAGAAATAGTACTAATGGTACAGTGTGGAATTTTCAGCACATATCTACGATATTGCATCTAATTTCATCGCACATTTAAAAGGAGTAATTCAAAAAATAAATATTAAAAACAAAACAAAAAAAACACTAAAATAACAAAAAAATGCAAAAGATATCAAGAAGTAGAAAAGAAAATAAACACCAATAATGAAAAATATTTCAGTATTTGGTAGTGGAAGCTATGATATATGTATGCGTGGTGAACAGTAACAGCTATAATCATACAAGAAGTTATGAAATGATATTAAGGAATGTTTATAGCCAAGATGATCAGTTAATTTGATTGAACAACACTAAACAATCTAGTGGGAAGCCGTGACCAGTAGGGTACAGCAGGTTGAAGATGAGGCAGTAACTCATCGAAGAAGACATTGCGAAGTGGTCGCGCTATGTCGTGAACTGGTAGAAGTTAGAATTCAAGGACCATTGGATCGGGTCCCAGTGGCTCAATGGTCTACGAGCTCGCCTTGTAACCAGAAGGTCCTGGGTTCGAATCCCGGTGGGTGCGTACTGCTGAAGAGTCCCAAAACTAGGACGAAACAGCTGTCCAGTACTCCCAGGTTTTCCAGTGGTTCTCTAACTGATGTCAGCTCATGACTAAATCCTCCATGCAATCAAACAAAATCCCTACAAAACCAATACTTGAAAATCATAAAATAAACGTTTCAGGGTTTTTTATTGTCAGCACTAATGTAGTGTTTGTTGTGGTAGTGTGAGTAATCATACATAATACAAAAATTTTATGATTGTGATAACGGCGTTCACAGCCAAGATTGTCAGTTTTAATATTGTCGAACAAAATAAACAATCACAAAACTAATATTACATGATGGTTAATGACAGGACAATTTTGTAATACTCATAGTGCTAATATAGTCGGAACCAGTAGATACACAAAAGATGGAATGGAATAAAGTGTAAAAAAGTAAACCAATTATAATAATTTTAGGTAGCTAAGTATGTTTAAGAAGGTTGTTCACCATAGAATACAAATAAGAGAGAAATAAAAGCCTAAAATTGTTATTAACAACAAAGCAAGTCATAGGTTTCGGGCTTAACATTGTCTCTGTGACTTAGAACACGGGCCATTTGAATGCACATCGAAGTGGTATCTTTTTTGTGCAAAACAATAGATCACCTAGAATAACCAATTTCTTTCATGAAGAATTCTGTATAACTCAATTCATTTTAAATTTAGCTCAGATGTTCTGTAGAAGTTTATAGCGAAACCTTTACAATTAAGTCAGTCAACTACAACTGAGAGAGAGAGGGCACAATGCCGAAAACAAAAACGACTCCAAACTGATAAACGAAAGAGCATTATTCAAAATTAATAGAAACCATTTGCCTTTTTTTTCCTCTCTCTAGTTGCGTTCAGATTTTTGTTACTTTTCTCTTTTATACATCTGCTTTTACGACAAGGCAACTCTTTTCATTCTGACTACTTTGAATATATATATATATATATTACTACAGGCTCTTCTTCTAAGACTGAAGAAACTGATGATTGTGGTACATCTATGTCTAAAAAGTCTCGTCAAAGTGATCCACCGTCTACAATACCTGTCCAACCGTTAACTAGTCAACAAATACAATTATTGAATACCTTACAGGTAGGTTCTTTCAACAAATGATCTATTATTTATGAATTTTTCTTTTCCCCCGTATGCTATTGCAAATAATCAAGCCAGTCAATTTTCTTTTTGTTATCATGCTCACTGTTTTCCGATTGTATATCTGAAGTTGGTGTATGTTTTTATTGTAAGAAATTAGTAAATATTCTCTGAGCTATTGCAAGCAATAAAATGTATCGTTGACGTGTTTGCCGTGCAGTTGAAATGTAACTCATTGCCTTAAACACTTAAATTTCAAACAATAAATCCCGTGTCCTGGCTTCCGCGTAAAATACAAGGCTTCAACAGGACATCTGCATTGAATCTTGTTCTGTGCAATCTTTTCGAGCTGCCTCTTCGACTGTCCATAAGCTCTCAATTCCAATTCACATGATCTCCCCCTTATCACCCTCTTGCTCACAACTCGTCTTTCCCCGCTTGGGCTCCATTCAACGGTCTCTCTGACGCATAATGTCACTCAACGGTTTCATCAGCGTGTCTTTCTTTCAGTAGATTTGTTGGGTGGTAGATTTTTAATTTGTTCGTCTCCAGAGTTTCTTGTTGCTTATCCTTTTTGGCTGGCCATCTGATATCCAGTATCTAGCTAAGGCATCTGTTGATGAAAGTTTGCAAGCGGATTGTTAGAGATGCTTTTTGTGGTGCCCTATGTCTCTAAACCATATAGAAGCTCTGACTGACTTGTCATTAGTGTTGAAAATCCCAATATTGTTCCTTATTTATTGTTCGGTGCTGTAGATTTCCACGCTAATTTCAGTGTACTGAAAGTCTGTCTTGCTTTTTCGATTCTGACTGGCTTTGACGTCTTCATCCCCATGCTTTTGACCCCCACCCACCGGGGTGAGTGAGTGAAAGAGGTGACATTTTTCCAAATCGCTCCCCTTGATAGTTCACTGGCAGGTGCTAAGCTCAGAAAGAGCGAAGGAAGATTAGGCGTGTGCAGCTATCGTTGCAAAAACCTCCAAACAGAGAAAATGTTTTAGAAAAATAATCCATAAGGATATTTTTAGATAATGCATAAAACATGAGGCCTTTCCTTATTATCTAAAAGGATTATTACATATGAAGCGTTAGTACATATTATCTTACGGAAGATATAGGTTAATGTATATTATTTCTTTCAGTAGTTATATTTGATGCTTAGATTATAACGGTTTCTTTTATATTCTCTGTAATGCCGTTTTTCTTTTTAATCATCTTTCTTTATGAGTCAGTAGACTGTATTGATACAATTCATAGCTTACAAATCTTTATGACAGGCTTCTTTGTTTAATGTAATTTGATTGTTTATTTTCATATGATTTGATGTATGAACTCATCCTATTCACCTTTGAATCAAAATGTCTGTCAGTCTGACAACATTTAGACAGAACCATTGAAAGTTAGGAACTAATGGGTGAGTGTTTCGTCCTAGTTTAGAATTCTTGAGCAATACGTGCCATGACTTTCAGGCTATGAAGCAACCCCTTTGATCATTCAGTTATAAGTCATTGGATTCCGTCTCAGGGGCTGGACGGTCTACGAGCTCGCCTTGTAACCTGAATGTTGTGGATCCGATCCCCAGTAGCGATCTAGTACTTTCTGGTTTTCAATGATTTTCTAAATGATAAAATTCTGTGGTCAAACTGGGTGAAACCAATCAAAGCCTTACAAACTAACTCTTGCAGAATGCCTCTTGCAATAATACTTGGATGTTTTTCTGCGTGAGAACATATTGAGAATTACATAACCATGCCAATGGGTTTAAATTTGGACTGACTTAAACTTTAAAAATAAAGTTAACATTCATTTACTTTCAGTGGGAAACCTAATTGTTAATTAGCTTTTTCATTTTTTTTTCATCTATTTATTTTTCAAAAGTCACAAGGCAGTTGTTTAACAGCTTCACAACGTCAAACACTTAACAATTTACAATGTCAAGCATTAAGATATCATCAATACAAATTGACACAAAACCAGAACACATCGAAAACATGCAAATCAGGCAGTGATTTTACCGATGAAGCTGCTTCAACCTCTGGTGGTGGTGGTGGGTCAGCTGGAGCTTTTCATGGTGGTGAGACTACTGCAACAACAGGTAGTTCTAGTGCTGATCGTAATCCATCCAGTGTAACTGGTGCAGATACAGTTGATTTATTTCCCACGGAAGATGACGACTTGACTGCAGTTGTTAACACTCCAGGATCTTCTGGTCATTTACCAGAAGAAGACTTGGGCTTTTTAACAGATGATTTACTTGCACAATTGAATGGATCAGAAGCCGCAGCTGGATTAGATCTTGTAGAATTAGCTTTATTCACAACTGGTTCAGGCGCTGGTGATCAACGACCTGCAAGTAATAATAATAATAGTAGTAGTAATACCAATCAAAATTTAGCGGATGAGAAATCCAGTCAATCGAAATGTGGTGATTCGTCAACAGTCAGTCCAGCCCCTTCAATAGCTAACAATAATAATAATAACAACAATAATCCGACACAGTCTATTGATTTAGATACATATAAGAAGGATCAAATAGATATAAAGGATTGTTTAACACAAGAACTCGGTGTTGATCCCCTCATTAATCCCTCAGGTGATTCATCATCTTCGGAACCTGCTGATTTGCATGCTTATTTAACTAAACCGCTGAACCCTCCAACCAGTGTAACTGCGGCTTTACATGTCAATATGTCCTCTTCACAAGTGAGTCGCCTGTTATATATATATATATATATATATATATATATATGCTGTGTAAATATTTAGACTTCTTATATATGCATTATGATAGGTACTTGAGTTTCATATGGTATCTTAATTCCGTAACCAGCCAGGTTGTAGCACCTATCCCTCTCATTATACATATATTCTATCCATTGATAAGTGCCTATACGTGTAAAAAGCTGGCTGATTGCAGTGTCTGCGATCTGTAATGCATATGTTTGAATATTATCTCTTAATATTTTGAATTCTGTCATCAATTTTGCAACTTTCATTGTTATTGACTTTTAACTCTTTATTTTAAGTGAGTATAACTGAATAAAATGTGTAAGCAGGTAAATCTATAGTGAAATGCACTTTGGTAACTAAGACTTAAAATTGTCAATAGTTGGTTTGTAAGGACTAGACTTGTTTTTACGAGTTGATCATGGACTGATATCGGTTAGAGAACCATTGAAATCCAGGGATTACTGGACAGCTGTTGCATCTTAGTTTGGGAATCATCGGCAGTACGCACCCACTGGTATACGGGCTTGCCTTGTAACCGGAAGGTCCTGGGTTCGAACCCTATGAGTGGGTGCCGATGATTCCCAAACTAGGATGCAACAGCTGTCCAGTAATCCATGCTGGTTTTCAATGGTTCTCTAACTGATATCAATCCGTGATCAACACTTAAAATTGTATTTATTTTCTAGACACTTAAAGTACTATAATTGTTTTAAGATAAAATAGTGCATTGTAAAACAGTAAGTGATAAGTTCAAATCTCTCTTTTGTCCCTAAACAGTGGCATTGTCAACTTTCACGTAGTCGGTTGACTCAATGCCTCTAGCATGAGTGCTTGTATTATTCATGTAACATAAATATCTTCGTGAATTTGATTCCTGTAATAAGTTTCTCCTTCCTCGTTAGTGATTGTTTGCCGGTATTATTTAATGATGACGTTTCGAGCCCAACTTGTTGCTGTTCATTATAATACTTTTCATTATCTCTCGTATCGGTGTTGTTCCAATTCCCATTCCACACATATTAGGTGTATGATTCGATAAACAAAGATGCAGGGATTATCCCCCCCTCTGTCTCTCCCTCCTGAACTACTCATATTACTTTTTAAAATCATAGCTCTGTCTCAACCTATTGCGTGACTGTGTGCTAGTGCGTTGAGTGCTAGGTAAGGAGGAGAAATCAATCGACGAGACTGTGAAGCAGCTGCATCGACTGAAATGGTTAGGACATGTACTACGTCTACGTAGTCATCGCCCTCCTCGACGGACAATGTTAGCTGACATAGAGTCAAGTTGGAAAAGTGATAGTGGTAGTGGTCGCCAAACCGAAACATGGCTTCATCAGTCAACGAAATCCACAACAGTTAGTGTAAGCCGCGTAGAAGGGTGTAGACTTCCTGATTGGGGTCCTCAGGACGGTAAAATCCAATGAAGGCTGGAGACCGTTGGTGATATGGCTCAAAATCCTCATTCTCAATGGCTGGCACAGATGCATCCACTCCTTGTGACTTATAATTTCTAATGAAACTATATTGTTCTTCAATATTACTATCCCTTTTTTCTTATATCCCCGTTTACTGTCTCTATTTAGCATTTCTGCGTACTTTCTTCTTTGACTTTGTGTGCTACATGGAGTGTGGCAACTTGAACTGCTGCACATCGGTGCGAAATTCTATGTTGAAAACAGACAGACAGTTCGTACATTCCAATTCCTGAGTTTTTTTCAGACTGACTGGTTTCAACGCAGAACTTTGCAGAGATGTGAAGCAGTTTGAGTTGCTTCACTCTCTCCATGTACCACACAAGGCAAGAGAAGAGAGTCAAAAGAGAGACAGATAATAAACAGAAGTGTGAGTCAAAAAAATAGTTATTTAGAAGAGCAATAGAATTTTATTGGATATTATGAATCACAAGGAGTGGATTCATCTACGCCAGCCATTGAGAACGAGGATTTTGAGTGATATCACCAATTTCCTCCAGCTATCATTGGTTTTCAGCACCCCGAGGACTCCAACCAAGAAGTGAATTCTTTTCTAAGCTGGTATAGTCAACAATTCTACACTTGGCTAAATTTTTATGTCCCCATAATTTGACTACCCTCGATCTGCTAGTTTTATTTATGTAGTTAACCTCACACAGTCATTGTGAGGTGTTTAGATAGGTTAAATAATTTTTATCTAATCAGGTCTATGAGATCTTGTAGCCTACAGGACTTCTATCGAATAAAATTATTCCATGATGGTGTTATACTCTACTACTAGACTGGTCAAATTCTGGTTCTTCTGAAGTCTTAATCCATTCCAACTGTCTCTGTCTGTCTTTTAGAATCAAGAATAGTTTACAGAACTGTCGGTTTGCATCTGCACTAATACTCAATATTCATTCGTACATATTCTGATTAAATTTTGTCAACTTAGACACTGATACACATGTCCACTATATGTGTTTGTGTTAATAAGAAAAGGTCAACGAGACTCGAAGGCAATGTTTATTAGGACAAACGCATTGTAGGTACACAAACTTGGTATACCTTATCTTTAAGTCTTTATTTGCATATCATTTGCAAACTGGTTGAATATCACCACATTCGATAGTTTGTTGGATTCTGCACAGTGTTGTCACGTTCTTCTCACAGTTCTCTTCTTCGATTACTTTTTCCAGTGCCCAAAACATATTGTTACTTTTTTGAATTCGTTTATTGATATACTACTTATGTCTGATTATAAGTAGCACTCACCACATATGTATTCAAAGTTGTTTAAAGAATTCAAGAACAAAAGATTTCAATTAACGTTTTCATGTTAATTAACATTTTCCCTCGTTAAAAATTTGACGTTTATTTTAGATTCTATCATCAATTCGTGGTCTTGGACGTTCTGGTGGACCATGGTGGCCTGGTTTACTACCTGAAGGCAGTCCTATACCAAAACCTCCAGCAAAACCTTATCCACCTCCACCAAAAGATAAACTTCTACCGCCAACACCAAGTGTTTATTTAGAAAATCGTAATGATGCGCATTCACTTGAATTAATGCGTTATTGTTTTACACAACCAGTTGTTGTAATCCGTGGATTGGCTGGTGCACTTCGACTAGATTTAGGCTTATTCTCTACTAAATCATTAGTAGAATCTAATCCAGAACATCGAGTTGAGGTAAGTTGACAATCAATCGTTCTGATTATTATTATTATTATTATTATTATTACTATTCATGTTTTTATTTGTTCATTGATCAGAACATCACCTCTTGTGTTCCAGTGAAGTTGATGAAATCAAAATGAAGCCTTTAACCCTTATTCCTTATTCATCAGGTGTAACTGGGTAAATCTGTGATATCAAGTAATTCAACTTGGTGTGCTTCAACAGTAATCATCCGGTAATAGTATAAACTTTATGATAGCCAGCGGTTGAAACAAGCTAAAATGGGCTTAGACCGGCTGATAAAATCAGTTTCGACGAATTGGTTCGCGACAGAATATTTATTTCAGTAAGATTGAACTACGCAAAAACGCCTGACTTTATACAACCAGTATATAATTGGTTATTTGTTGGTTTAACTTTCTGAGCTGCGTAATATTTGTATAAAATGTATTTCTGTATAAGGAAATCGAATTGTTCTCACCATCATGGAACCAATCTTGTCGTCTGCCTTTTATTTGGATTGCTTCTGAGGGTCAAAATTAATCGGCGATTGGTATACTACCATCGAAACCGTAAATCAAGGGTACTGCATCGTCGCTGTCAAATATCCAGATCTCAGATATCCTAGACCTATCACTTGTTTCAGAAGACTAAGCTTAATATGCATAACACTGTGCACTGTAACCGACTCAGAACAACAGAAAACTGTTGGACAACACGATTTTTTATTCTTCAAGCGGTAACGAAACAGATTTACAATGGTTAATCAGTGCTAAAGTCCATAAAAATAAAAGAAGAGAACACAAAGTTCAGCAAAGATATCTATCCGGCGATTTCATTTTCAGAAGCTGTACAATCGCATTTAAATACATAATTTTATATGGATACAATTCCTGTTTGATTCCACATAATTACGACGGCGAATAAAAGGTGACAATTATTTTCAACTAGATATGGTTTACGAGTGGCTTAGAAACAAAATTACACATGATTAGAACAAATAACAAGTGTGTATAAAAATGAGCATGGAAACAAAATTGAAATAATAATTTCCAACTTGAGATGGGAGTAAGAAGGTGTTCTCTTCTTTCTAATGTCCTTATGGGCGTTTTCCACGATCACGATCATAAAAATAAACGTTAATATAATGTACAACAATACTTTGATAGTATTTCTCCAATCTACTGCCAACCAGTACACGATTAAACAATGATAGCCTTCTTGTTTCCCGTCAATGGAGACCAGTACTAATGAACAAACTACTCAATGTTCACAACATTGACAATCGCCGATACGACAGTTTACAGCAACATAATCATACATTTAAACTAATCATCAAAGCTGAGTACCCCTTGAATATCCTTTAAATTGTAGTCATTATTATACCTTGAATCCTTCCATATTACTGTGATGCTACAGCACTGGACTACATTGACTCACTTCTAGCTTAAAGATAGGCAGGAGAGAAGTGGTAGATCGTGTTGACCACTTCACGTATTTGGGAAGTTGCATCAGTCAGTGAAAGCGGGTTGATTCCTCACGAAATCTCACTACGGATACAGGAGGCTAGCTTCGCATATGCTAACCCACACCATCTCTCGCTTAGTAGACGTGATATCCGGTTAGCTGGCTGGCTGGCTCGCTATCGACCAAAGGGCGTGTGTACTGCTCAGCTCAGCTCAGTGAAGCAGATCGCTCTCTCCTCCTTTATGGCTCCATTGTAAGTGGAAGATACGAAAAACTTGGCTAGCTGTCTTTTATCATAGGTGCATGCGTTCTATCTCCCGTGTTCAGTGCTATGATGAGGTGACAGGTAAGTGGGGGGAGAAATCAATCAAGCAGTCGACGAAGTTGTGAAGCAGCTGCATCGATTCAGATGGTTAAGACTTGGGTTACTCATGCATGACTAGTCATTGGTCGCCTTCCTCGACCAACGGGAAATCTCAGCTGACTGACATACTATAGATCAGGTTGGAAAAGAGTTAGCTAGTGCTAGGTGGTCAAACCAAAACCAGCATGGCTTCATCAGTCAATGGAATCCACAACACCTAGTTTAAGCCAGCCAGTTAGGTAGAGGTGTAGACTGGCCTCCTCGTTGAAGTACTCAAGATGGTAAAAACCAATGGTGGCTGGAGACAATTGGTGATATGTCTGTCTGTCTGGATTCAACATAGAACTTGGCACCGAAGTGCAGCAGTTCGAGTTGCCACGTTCCAAATAGCACACAGAGGTAGACAAGAAGATGAGTGAAGAGAATTAATAGAGTTTGACAAGTATAAGAGTGAAACAGAATGGGTAATGGTAGAAAGGAATATGAAAGATTACAGAGACTGAATACATCTGCGCTGGCCATTGACAACGATTTTGAGCCATGTCACCTATTGTCTCCAGCCATTGATTCCTAGAGTCCCGAGGGCCCCAACCCGGGAGTCTGCATCTCCCTACCTGACTCAGTTTAACTGTCAAGGATTTCATGGATTGATGAGGCCATGTTTTTGTTTGGCCACCACTGGCTCTTTTCCAACCTGAACCTATATCAGCTAGCAATGCCCGTCGGGGGAGGCGGTGGTTAGGCATGCGCAGCACGTGACCTAGCCATCTTAGTCTATGTAACTTTATAACCTCGTCGATTGATTTTCCCTCTTTGCCCAACACTCTACGCCTAACGTCAACATTACTTACCTTGTGAAACCACCTAACGTGAGACAGAGATCGCAGACATCTATGATCGAAAGCAGTCAACCTTTTCATGTCTTCAACGCGTATTGGCCATGTTTCAGAGCCATAGAGAAGGACGGAGCGAACTGATGAGCAGTACACACGTCCCTTGGTTGATAACCGGATGTCACGCCTACGCCAGAGATGGTGTAAGTCAGCGAAAGCAGCTCGAGCTTTTCGGATCCGTGCTGAGATTTCATCGCCAATCAGTCCGTTGGTGCTAATACAACTTCCCAAGTAGGTGAAGTGGTCAACATGTTCTATCACTTCACTCCCTATCACTAAGTTAGGGGTTGACGTGGTCCAGTCCTGTAGCAGCATCTTACATTTTGCAGGGGCGAATCGCATGCCAAACATACGAAGATTGCTGCTCAAGGTGTTCAGAAGACTCTGCATTTTGTCAGCATCCTCCCCTAACAGGACTATGTCATCTGCATATTCTAAGTCCATAAGATTATTCCCTGGTAACAAGTCGATTCCTAAGTCACTACGTTCAGTTAAGGATACTTCCATTAGCATATCTATGATGAAGTTAAACAGAAATGGGGAAAGTGGACATCCCTGTCGGACACCACTGGTTGTTACCAATTCAGATGACAATTCCCCATAAGCCCTTACACGACTACGTGAGTTTGAATAGAGTGCCTTGATTAGTGCAATGTACTTTCTTGGCACTCCCTTCACAGTCAGACATTGCCATAGTACCTTTCGGTCCACGGAGTCGAAGGCCGCCTTCAAGTCAAGAAATATGACAATTGTTGGACGCCGAAAAGTGTGTCTATGTTCTAGAATCTGTCGAAGAGTGAAGATATGATCTATGCACCCTCTACCTGGTCTAAAGCCTGCTTGATTTTCCCTTGTCTGTTCCTCCCGAGTTCTGCTTAGTCTATGCATGATTACTGAGCCTAGGATTTTAGAGACTATGTTCGTTAGGCTGATCCCCCTATGATTATCACACGAGGACTTGTTTCCCTTCTTGAATATCGGTATAATAAGTGACTTACCCCAGTCTGATGGAACTGTCTCTGATTCCCAGACTTTGCCTAGTACCTCAGTTAATCTACAAACTAGTATGTCACCCCCATATTTAAACACCTCCGGAATAATTCCGTCGGGTCCTGCCGCTTTGGTGATATGACTCAATATCCTCGTTCTTAATGACAGCACAGATGCATCCACTCTTTGTGATTTACAATATCCAATAAAATTCTATTGTTCTCTTATATTACCGTTCTTTTTGCCTCACACTTTTGCTTATTATCTCTCTCTTTACTCTCTCCTCTTGCTTTATTTGCTACATAGAGAGAGCGTAGCAACTCAAACTGCTTCACATCTGTGCAAATTTCTACGTTGAAACCAGCCAGTCAGTCGGTCAATATTACTGAACTGAAATGAATTGTCTATAAAGAATTTTACACGAAAGTGAATACGTTCCGGTTGTCACACTTCAAATAAGTACACATAAAGGTAGAGAAAAAAGTGCCAAGGGACTATAATAAGTGGGTGTATGGAAATAGAAGAAAAATAACTACAGGCAGAATAATGAAGATTAAAAGAATGGATACTGAACAAAGAGTACTCTTTTCGATAAATTCATCATCAGGCTCTACATTTATACATACATTATAGTGAATGAATGAGTTAGTGTTATAAACGACATTAATGTTTAACTAACATCAAATCAATAATACTGATAAATTACACCTGAATCGCATCAACATAGTAGAATAAGCTGAATGTCAGAAACATTAAGAAAGATAATAGTACAAATTCATTAGTTTATAGCTTCTGCTGAAGGCCAGGGAAATAGTAGGGGTTGGACTTGCTTCTTTTGAACACAGAGTGCTGGCTGTTTGAGGCGAATCGCAATAGCCTCTGCTGTTTAGAGCCTGCGGTGCTTCGATGTTTTTGGTAATTTATTTGGCACCCGGTTTAATATAGAGAAGGATTCATCTACGCTGGCTTTGTGTCCTGTTTGCACCAGATGTTCCAATATCGAGTTGTTAATAGTTTTCACTACACCTTTACTCAGCCATGCTGGGAGATGTTCTCGAGCACGAAAAATCAAGTTCCTAGAGCAACGGCCAATATAATTGGCTGCACAAGCGCAGTTGAACTGATAGATACAATTAGAAGTGGCTAGTCTAGGTACTTCATCTTTCAGTCGAGGAATCACCATCGGTCGTGTAGAGAATAAGACGTGTAGTTCGCCAGCAGTCAAAGTTCTTTGAACTGATTTTCTTAATTTCTTCGCAACTATCTCGCTTGGTATATCGCCCATGATTGATTGAGTTGAGTAGCAGTTGTATACCACTCACACCACCTAGCAGCAGTGCTTACTAGTCAGTCAGTTCAAAGTGATCTAAGTATCAGACGGCTATTTCAGTCGTTTGGAACCGAGCTCATCAGTGGAATACTCTCTGCCTGACTTTCAGTTGAAGGACCCTATTCAGTTCATGCCACTCGATTTCTGGCTAAGTGATGCGCTTGAGCAAACTAGTAACATCGTAAACCGTATTAGCAATTTACACATTTTGAAGGGATGAAATTTCACCAGTTTCTTCTGGAAACCGAAATTATTCAGATCTGCTGGATACCACAAATGTGCAATCAAGAAAGCAAACGTAAGTGCGTAAAAACAATATTCTACTGATTGACTGAGTAGCTGTATACCACCCACACATTGTGATCTGAATGATTTTGCTTTCCAAAGGAAACTGAACTGGGGTGAAATGTCACCTTCTCGAACTGTATAAATTGCCAATTTGATTTTTAGGATTAAAAGAATCTGGAAAATTACAAGGAGTGGATATATCCATGTCACTGAGAGCGATTTTGAGTCATGTCACTGATAGTCTTCATTGATTAATTCTTAGTATCCGGAGGAACCCAAACAACCAGTCTACAATTCCCTACATGGCTCCAAACAACAATCAGAGACTTCATCGCTTGGTGCAATACTTTTGACTGAATTCCCTTAGCCATTTTTAAACTTGATCTTATTTATGCTGGTGAAGGAAGCTGGGGTACTGTGGATGTGTAACACATCTTTGAACTATCTCATTTCATGAAGTGTAGAAATCTTATGCATCGATTTCTCCTGCTTACCTATGACTTTGAATCTCACCTTATTACTGAGCCCATATTACACGTTCAGTATGCTGAGTCATAGAAATGAGTGTAAAGACGGCCAGTTACTGTTCCGGTTTATATAATTCCTCGACTTAATAAATTCTTTATTTATGCATCCAAGTTCATATTATCTATTTCAATATCGGTAACTGGATAGTATTACTGCAAGGCACCTTATACACCACATATAAAAGTCAAATGCAGTCATTTATGCACATATATACATTTCTGTTTCAGGTTCGAACTCAACGTCTTCAACCACCTGATCAAAATCTTGACTCTCAAGGACGTACTGTATGGTTTTGTGAATCGCCTAAAACTACAACAACTATTGCTAAATATGGTGCTTATCAAGCTGCTTCATTTATTGAAGCGATAAAAGAAGAAAAAATTGTAAATTTCTCCACTAGTACACCAGCTACATCAACTCCAACTTCACATGCAGCTTCTAATTTATCGACAGATCCCAAGTCTTCTACTGGCGGCGGTGGTGGTAACTTAATAAATGGTAAGTAAGCTAGAAAGTTTGTGGCATACACACGAATATACAATCACCTTTTTTAACAATATTTGTGTGTGTGTGTGTGTGTGTGCGTAAGATTAGCTTACAGTGTGTGAGACTCACTATCCTACATGGTGTAGTCTTCCAATCTGCTTTGGTGGTTCAGCGGTAGAGGAAGGTGGCCAACCACCCACTTGGTCCGAATTCCGATACTCTACTAAACCTCGCGTAATTGACTAGCCAGTAGTAAGCCCCAGTGAACAGGAAAGGTTTGAGGTGAAGCTAGCAACCGCACCCCTTATAAACAACACCTCTATTGAAACTTCAAAGTTCAAGCTTGAAGTCCCTATACATTCCACTCAGAACGCAAAGGAATGATTAGAGTACCCAATGAGATGCATTCAGACTTCACTGTCCTTTTCTGTCTTTTCTTTTTATTCTTCATCTAGCCACACCAGGAAGTGGACGAAAAAATTCATCTCACTGGCCAGGTGAATCAACAAATACCGAATCTAAGTAAGTCTGTTAACGATAATAATTCGAATTTTTTTTTCTAGAGCTTTCCTGTTGCAATTTCTTCCTCGTTTTCTGTGTGTGTATGATTTCTTACAACAGTGAATGGTTGAAAATAGACCTGTACGAACATTATGTGTTTTTTAAGTTATGAACCGAGGTTCCTCTGCTTATAAGTCACTCGTCAGCAAGGCATATTTGCAACCTCAAAGAAACTGAATGAATGTACTTGTTGCAGTCCTATTGAATAGAGACGATTCGTGGTGTGAGTAGCCCAGTGATAAAATCTCTAACTGCTGCACTTAGTGACTCGAGTTGGAATCATTGTTGAGATATCCATCCCTTCAAAAGTGTGAAGATGCCGCTCGTTGATGAGTTCCAGTAAGAGCGTGAGACCTAGGTAGAGAGTTTCCTTCTGATTGCCTCCAATCAACTAATATCAAAGATATAAATCTATGTGTTCTATAGGTGACTATGCTATATTATCTATAAGAATTCTAATTAGTGTATATGTCTTCAATGCATTCATTCATGAATCAGTTTCTTACCTTAATTCTACAGACAAAAACCAATAAGTTGGCAGAAAAGGCAAAAAGCGAAGAAAACACTTCAAGTGTTAGTTTGTACGGATTCGATTGGCTACAGGATTTCACCATGAGCTGATATCAGTTAGAGAATCACTGGAAAACCTGGGAATATTGGACCGCTGTTTCCCCGTCCTTGTTTGGGACTCTTCAGCAGTACGCACCCACCGGGATTCGAACCCAGGGCCTTCTGTTTGCAAGGCGAGCTCGTATACCATTAAGCCACTGGGACCCGACCCAATGGCCCACGAATTCCAACTTCTGCCAATTCACGACATAGCGCTATCCAATTTCTTCGGCGAGTATTTGTCCTCACACCCGACCTGCTGCACCCAACTGGTCACGACTTCTCACTAGAACACCAGGTAACTACCTACTTGAATAGGGCAAGTGAACATAGCGAAAACTCAGGTGATGATGATGATACCAAATCATCAACAACAAGCACGGATCACTATCAATAGAATAAATTTGAAAAAGTCACTTCTTTCACTGATTGCTGACACTATTGTGAAATGGATGAGAATGTCGAAGCCAGGATCAGAAAAGCCAAACAAGATTTATATTGACCTTAAATGAGTATGGAAATCTTACTGCACTCAACATTAGGAAAAACATTCGGATTTCTAAGGCTAAAGTCAAGTTAATTCGTCTAAAATGGTTCAGAATCGTGGTGCATTACGTAAAGCGTCTCCAACAGTCTGCAAACGTTCGACAATAACTGCCTTCTCTAGCTGTGAATACTGCAGGTCATACGGCTTGTCAGAAAGGATACTGACTGACTGGTTTCAACGTAGAACTTTGCAGAGATGTGAAGCAGTTTGAGTTGCTTCACTCTCTCCATGTACCACACAAGGCAAGAGAAGAGAGTCAAAAGAGAAACAGATAATAAACAGAAGTGCGAGGCGAAAATAATATTAATATGGAAGAACAATGGAACTTTAGTGGATACTATGAATCACAAAGAGTAAATCCATCTGCGCCAGCCTTTGGGAACGAGGATTTTGAGCCATTTCATCAATTTTCGCTAACCTTCATTGGTTTTTACCATGCCGAGAACCTCAACCAGGAAGTTAGTCTACACCTCCCTACGGGCAGGACTGGCGGGCTCTCTTAAACTAACTGTTGTGGATTCCATTGACTGATGAAGCCATGCTGGTTTTGGTTTGACCACCTAGCACTAGCTAACTCTTTTCCAACCTGATCCATCGTATGTCAGTCAGCTGAGATTTCCCGTTGGTCGAGGAAGGCGTTTAGTGACTAGTCATGCATGAGTAACCCATGTCCTAAGCATCTCAGTCGATTTAACTACGAAAGGATAAGCTACAAAGAACTCTGCGAATAAACCAACCAAGAACCTGTAAATTAACAAATATGCAGCAGGAAAGAGATGAATTGATTGGACATATAATAAGATCGTTTAAAGTGACATCATGCACCGGCACGTCTATTGGAACTGGAATGGGAAACGACCAACTGGGTGTTGATCCTACAGTGGTATGTCTGTCTGTCTGTTTTCGACATAGAACTTTGCACAAATATGCGGAAGTTCAAGTCGCCACACTCCGTGTAGCACGCGAAGCAAGAGAAGAAAGTACAAGAAAAGCATAATAGAAACAGTGAGCAGAGGTGTGAGACAAAGGAGTAATAAAGAAAAACAAAACAGTTTCATTGGAAATCATAAGTCACAGGGAGTGGATGCATCTGCGCCACTGAGAACGATTTTGAGCCATGTCACCAATTGTTTCCAACCATAGATTTTTACCGTCCCGAGGACCCCAGCCTTGAAGTCTACACCTTCCTACGTGGCTGGCTTAGACCAACTGTTGTGGATTTCATTGACTGGTGCCAAGTTTTTGTTTGACCGCCGCTAGCTTTTTTCCAGCCTGACCCTATATCTGCAAACATTACTCGTCGAGGGAGGCGATGACTTGGCATACGTAACAGATGTCCTAACCATCTCAGTCTTTGTAACTTCACGACTTCGTCGATTGATTTCCCCTGTTTACCTAGAACTCTACGCCTAACTTCAATGTTGCTCACCTTATTATATCACTTCACACGGGAAATAGAACGCAGGCACCTATGATCAAAGACAGCTAGTCTTTTCATGTCTTCCACAGTGGTATGGAATAGATAGTATGAGAAGAAAATTAGAGCTTACGAACAATCGCTGAGCCACCTGAAGAAGACTGCAGAGGGCGGAGTCAAATGGAGATGTGCTGTTCTGAAACCCTATGTTCCAATCGGAACGAAAAGGAAGAATAATAATATGTTTCCAATGCATCCACGGCGAAGTTAAACTTTAGGCACTACTAACTACCAATCAGCGAATGACATTGAACGCACCAATCACATGAAGGAGGCATTTTCATGTATGGAATACATATATTTATGAAAAAAAAATGCATAACAACTGTATAAAAGTGTTACAGAGGATACCTCCTCTCGCATGTGATTAAATGGCTCTCAGTTTTTATGTTGGAGTATCAACAGAGTATAATTCCATTATGGGTAAAATTTAGTTTGATAAAGTCTCCCAATGTTATACATTAATATTTACTGAGCAATTAATTGTGCTCGAAACGTCATCAGTAAATATTACTGTATAACATTGGGAGACTTTATCAAACTAAATTTTACCCATAATGGAATTATACTCTTCCACAGTGCACAAGTTCTATTCTTATATCAACAGAGTAATTTAACCACATTCTTTGCATGCAATTATTTAAATCTTCTAACCCTAACAATAACTCTAATCTTTCCTTAACCTAACCCTAACTTGAAAATATCCCTAAACTAACTGTAATCTAACTTGAACCAACCCTAATGTCGCCTTTATTAGGTTAACCTAACCTTAACTTGTCATTGGCTTGAACCGTAACTTAATCTTTCTCAAACCTAAGCTGAAACCTCCCAGATATCCTATTTAAAAAGCATAACACTTCGATGGGCATATTTTACTGATAATGACAACGTAATTTGCCAGCTTTCACTAACTTGCTTAGTGAGCGTTCCAAGGTCATTAGTGCAGTCTCACTCTGTTGGTAGTTAGTGGTGCTTAGAGTTTAACTTGGCCGCATCCACTCATGAATCACTACCTTGCTTTTAATTCTTCTATTAACTTCTAGTATGTATTTTGATTTAGCTTTATATTTATTGTACAGTAGAAAAGTCTATTGCGTAATAAATTCACTCGTCTTATTCACAGTTTAATTAATTTAATACATCTTTTGGATACTGTCTTTTCTGCTTATTATTATTTTATGTAGTACACCTGGAGTAAATCATCCTCATCAAACTGGCACAAAATTACCAAATGATGAAAATCAACCGGTTACACATTCACAAAATACAGGCAAATCGAAATTAATACGATTTGGAACAAATTGTGATCTTTCAGACCAGAAGAAATGGTTACCTCAATTACATGAATTAACTAAACTGCCAATATTTGTACGTGTTGTCAGTGCTTTCAGTATGCTTAGTCATGTGGGTTATCCTCTCTTAGGATTGAATACGGTTCAACTTTATTTAAAAGTAAGTAAATGTTGTTTAAAATAATGTGATTTTCAGATTTTGATTTTCAAGCTTAGAATTAAGATGATTTGTTTTTATTCTGGTGCTTACATTTCTCGTTGTTTGATTGTGGTTGGCTGAGATACTCTCGATCTCTGTTGACATGTCAGCTCCTAGTGTAGTGTGTGCTACTAATTAGATTTATCAGTAGTATGTGAAGAGAAGTTTGTCGGTAGAAAAACATCAGATGTCAAGGAGAGAGATTTGACGTCAGCGAAAGCAAATGATACAGCGTTGTGGAGATACGTGGGAGATGTGAAGGGAACACAAAGAAAGACAATACGAAGGCAGGTCAGAAGTAGCACGACACGGCAGATCTGTGCGAATGGTGCGTTGAAGATTATGGTGTACATAATTTGGCTATATGGAGATATGAAATTGCGAATAAACATTCCTTTACCAAGTCTTCGTCTCCTACCGTCACACTTGTAGAAACGCTTTAACGATGTCTAAGAATTAGCGTTAGACAACTCAAGTGGTTAATGTTTCGGCATCTGAGACGATGGTTGTAGGATTCGGGCCGTAGTGGAAACACCACCACTGATGAGCCCTGAATGCACACCCCGGATTTCACTGCTAGCCACCCTCAACTAGAACAATTTATTTTAAAGAGCCGTATTCTGTTTGTTGTCTTCATTTTAGGTTCCTGGATCTCGAACACCAGGTCATCAAGAGAATAATAATTTTTGTGCTGTTAACATGAATATTGGTCCAGGTGATTGTGAATGGTTTGCTGTCCCAGAACAGTATTGGGGTGCAATACATGATTTATGTGAAAAGAATAATGTGAGTTGTCTGTTTTATTTATGAAAATTTATTGCTTCTCTAAGTTGTAATTAGATCCCCAAATTTACTTTACCAGGACGCGCACATCTAGTCGTCGTATTTTTGACTTGTTACTTGTAGATGTACATCTCCAGTGAGCGATAGATGATGTTCCTGTCGAGACGTAAACGTAGCACCCATTGTTTCAAAGGCCAAGGAGTTGTCTTGTGTGTAACGGCAGTCAGCTCTTATGCATCAAGTATCAGTTGTTATTTCTTGGAGATATTCTGAATTTCCGAAATGTTTGACTTCTGTGAACATATCTGGTAATACAAACGCTTCGACGATGTCTTGAGATAAATATGGCATTACTTGGTTGTGTTAAAGTTTAGTGTCTGCGTTCCATCTCCTGTGGTAGGAAGTATAATAGGGTGAGTAATATTGAGATTAGACGTCGAGCGTTAGGTAAGGAGGGGGAGTCAGTCAATGAGGCTGTGAAGCTATACCTATTGAGATGCTTAAGACATGTGTTACGCATACATACCTAGCCATCGCCTTCCTCTACGGGCAATGTTAGCTGGCCTACTATCGATCAGGTTGGAGATGAGCTGGTTGTAGTCAAACTAAAATTTGAAATCAGCCCATGAAATCTTTCACAGTTAGGTTAAGCCGCATAGGGAGGTGTAGGCTTTCTGGTTGGGTCCTGTAGATGCTAAGAACCAATGGCTTGAGATTGTTGGTGAAATGACTCAAAATCGTTCTTAGTGACTGGTGCAGATGCATTCACTCTTTGTGATCTGGTATATCCATGTAACTGTTCTATGACCTTCACATTTCTGCTTATCACTGGCCTTTCGGATCTCTTCTGTCCTGTTTTGTGTGTTACATAGTGTGTGGCAACTTGAACTGCTGTACTTTTGCGCAAAGTCCTATATAGGAACCGTGTCAGTTAAAGATTCAATGAAAGAAAAGAGAAAGAGAAATAATACTGTCTTCTTATCTTACACACAGTACATGTGATTATTCATATTTTCTCCCTACTTGTGAAATAAGTATTGGTGTAGAGGGAAAATGATGATACGATCACTTATTCGCACCAGTGCACAAAGTTATGACTGAGAATACCAGTCGTGAACAAAGGAACCATTATTTGAGATGATAAGAATTCGTTAAACTCAGCGTCCCTAACCCCACCCCCATCTTTGTATGTGCATGAACAATTTATTGATACATTCAACCTAATCTACCTTATCAGAATATATTACCAAAATAGCATAGTCAATTTTTATCCTTCTCATTGTAAAATATTTTATTATTTTGTTTTCTATTTGACTTTTCGTTTTGGTCTGATTTTCTTAGAAATCTAATTGACAATCTGTCTATATCGATTTTCTTCCTGACGTAGTTTCATTTTTTTCTGGTTAGCTGGAAACCACAGCTATACGACCCGAGACACTTTTTCTCCGCAATTGTATTAGTCAAGTGAACTTGATGATTGAAATGTTGTATGATTGACCTTGCTACACTATTCGGCTGTGCGTCGGTGGCACAGCGGTCAAGGCTCTCGTCGACCATGCAAATGGTCTGGGGTTTGATCGCCTACCAACTCACACCTGATATCAATTGGTCGGCCTGCAAAATTTGGGCTACTGATATCACATGCTGAAAGTTCCATACTTGTACCAAAAGTACAACGTGGAACCAAGCTATAATCGAATTGACAAGTAGTAATAAGTATGTGTGACAAAGTTGTCCGAGAAAAGTTTTACGCAAATACACTACACTTTTTTTCTGATAAACTGTGTCCTTTAATAGCACTGTACAAATTTATTGAGTGGGATCAATTCTTGTAAACCCATTATTATAGTATTATTCCCTTGGGTTCCGAGTAGAATATAGGACTTCAACAGCACATCTCCACTGCATCATCCTGCTCTGTGCAATTCTTTTTTAATCGACTCCACAATAGTCCATAAACTTTTATCTCCTCCATTTTATCCTTGGACGTCCAACTAGTCGTTACGCATTCGCGTACCACTTGGATGCCTGTCTGGCGCCTAATATCACTCAAAGGTCTGTGCCCACAGCGTGCCCCCCCCCTTCCATCCATCTCCATATTCCTTGGCATATTTGTTCTGCAATAGGTTGTGTTGTTGCCAGAGTTCCTCTTTACCAATCCTTTCTGATGGAAAATGTTGATAGAAGTCTTCAGCCTGTTGTAAATCTATGCATAAATAAAATCATTCACAGAGATTATAATTGGATTTATGGCTTAATAATTGTTTTTCCGTCGCTGTTATTATTTACCTATCAGGTTGATTACTTAACTGGTTCTTGGTGGCCAGATTTAGAAACTTTGTATAAAGAAGAGATTCCAGTGTATCGATTTATTCAACGTCCTGGTGATTTAGTTTGGATTAATGCTGGTACAGTACATTGGGTACAAGCAGTTGGTTGGTGCAATAATATTGCATGGAATGTTGGCAGTATGACAGCAAGACAATATCAACTAGCTATTGAACGTTATGAATTTAATCGTCTACGTGGAGTAAAATCTGTTGTCCCAATGACACATCTTAGTTGGCAATTAGCTAAAAATATTAAAATATCAGATCCTGGATTATTTGAACTTATCAAGTAAGTAGTGTTATTAATATTTTTGCTTGAAAAACAGATGTTTAACTACTAAAAAAACTATTTCTCAAGGATGTGGGTATTTATACTTCATCTTTTCATTTTGTGAGTATTGTTATACTATTACAATGTAGATGATGTCATGAAACGAAATTCGAAACCAAAGGAGTACTAGGCAGTTATTCTCTCCTAGTTTATGGCAAAATCTATGATTCTACTATTAGCTGTATGTTATGTTTAAAGCATAATTTATGCATATACATTTTTTGATTCAGTTTACTACTTAATCTCCTGATGCTGGCTCCACTCCACATGATGATATTATTATTATTATTTATTCCTCGCGTTCCCTGTATAACATAAGGCTTCACTAGCACATCGCCATCGCACTGTGTTCTCTGTTTCCATTTTGGAGCTGTCTCCACTATTTCTCATAAGCTCTTATTTCCTCTTTATATGACCTCCGTGTCACTATCAAACGCTTTTGATGCTGCGTTCTCCAAATCTGTGAACCATATAGAAGCACTGACTTAAGCTTGGTATTTAAAACTCCGATTTTGTTCCTTATACTGGGTGCATCAATCTTCCGTACTAATTTGTCTTTCTTGGCTTTGATATGTTTATCTGTCCCGCCTGTAGTTGAGACGATGCTGTCTAGATGTGTGAAAGAAGTGACCTCGTTCAAATTTCACCCGTTGATTGGTGCTGTTTGTTGGTTAGGTGTTTTCATTACCTCAGTCTTCTCTGTGTTCGTTTAGAGTCTTGTTTTCCCTACATCTTTTGCTCATTTGTCAGTTTCCGCCTGTAGACCTTCGAGTTTGCATGATATTATATCTCAATCATCCTCGAAACCAAGATTTTCTAAAGTCTTTTCCTAAGACTAACGTATATCCGTCCTCTCACTCGCCACGGTCTGCTGCATGACACGATCGACTGCAATCAGAAATATCATCGATGATAATAGTCAGCCTTGTCATAGTCCCGTTTTCACGCTTGATCGAGCTTTCTGTTGTAAATAATTTTGCATGTGGCATCATCACATACATGTTGAACCGGCACTGGTACTCCCCTCTATAATGTTGGAACAGTTGTCGAATTACTTCGCGGTCAGTGCTGCTGAAGGCCTTTTCATTGCGGATGAAGTTGAGGTAAACAGTTGACTACCATTCTGGACTCCATTCGATGTTGATACCTAGTGTTGCTTGTTGATCCGCACAAGTTGTGCTTTTCCTGTACCCAGCCAGTTTTGGGTGATGTCTTCCATCTATGCTACTGTTTATTTTTCCCATAATAATTTGGCTTAATACTTTGCTTGAGTTTAACAGGTCTGTGTTGTTTCTAAGGATGTTTCATTGGACAATTGTAACTTCTTTTTGAGTTCAATCTTCCTGTCATTATCCTGGTGGAGATTAGTTCTCATTGCATTTCAGCCTTCGATGTTGTTGGTGGCCTAATGATAGCCACCCTCTTGGTATGCTCATCGTCTAGATGCTAGGAGTAATTATTAACTCCAGTTAGCAGTTTGGAGAGCCCACTTCATTTCCATCTGTCCTTACAGATTCTCCTACCGCCTCTACGTCATATCTCCTCTTTTCTCCTTAAACCTGAGTAACATTGCCAGCCAGCCTCAAACATGGTGCGGGCAATCCATGTTTCTATTTAATTTTGTCTTTGTGAAGTCTCATCTCCCGGTGTCATTTGTCTTCGATTCAAGCGTAGAATACGTTTTTTCTTCTCCTACTTTGAGTTTCCAGTGGTGATGACGCTATTTTTTCAAGATGGAGTTGTTAGCCGCATGGCAAACCTTTCCTCTTTTCCCGAGCTTAGGACTGGTTTAGTCAGTTATGCGAGATAGTGTTTACCATTACGTTATTTTGTTGTTTTTGTCAACTACCACTCATGATTATTGAGCAGATCGCATATTGTGATCTGATATTTTTGGTTTCCGTAGGAAATCTCCTCCTCAACAGCATACTTTGCAAATGACAACTCCCACGCCTTTTTGTTATTTTTTCATTGGTTTTTTTCTCCATAAATCTTATGTTATGCCAAATCGCTATGTGTGTATATATATATATATATGTTGACCGACATTTCATTTAAAAAGCAAACTACGAAATATCCGCTCACACGCTTCACACTTATTTGTATTTAAAATTTATGGAAATGTTTCTGATCAGAGTCATGATTATATCTCATTGATAGGCTTCATATCATATTGTGCTTAATGGCTACTTGACTTTTGTCAATGTGTAGTGAAATCAGAAAAAAGACAACGTTAAACCCAATGATATCTTTGATACACCAGATTTATATCAACAATCAAGAGAAATCGCACTTTAATTCAGCTCATGTGAACCACCACCCACTTGTATAGAGTGATTCAACCAAAATCATTCTAATGTTAAATTATAAATATTCCCTGCTATTTCAGCTTTTGTTTAATAATCTTTTTGTTTTTGCTTGTTTGTTTGTTAATATTTTCTCTCTAGGCATACATTGCTTCGTAGTCTTGCTCAATCTCAGTTGATGACAGACTTTTTAGAGAATATGGGTTTAAGTATTAAACATCATGGGAAAAGACCGGATGACATTGCTCACTCCTGTCATGATTGTGAGGTTGGTGAAGATTTTTTGTGTTATCCTTAGTAAATAATACCTATTTGAAGTCAATCGATCGTTAAAAATCTGTTTTTTGTTGTTCTTGTTGTTGTTGTTGGTGGTGGTGGTGTATTCTATGACTTTTGACAAGTTAGCCAGCTTTTATACACCTAAGTATTATGTAAATCATCACTGATAGCAATAGGAGGAAGAGATGGTTGGCTTGTCATTTTTTTTTATAGATAAACAAGCATTGTCAACACGTGACTTGGCATTAATGTATCAAAATAAAAGAATATAATAGATGACAATTTAAGTGGAGATCTATTGTGATCGATCGATGCGTCAGTCAGTATTTGCATTAGAGTTTACAACCCTTGGTTTTGAGTTATCCTTTGAAACGCACACTTCTGCATACAGGTGAAGCCACACTAGTCAGTGGCTTTAGGCAAGGATGTCTTACGGTTGTCAACTTCGTTTCAGTCTAGTCGTTTCTTCAGCTAACAGTATAGAAAGCAGAAGTGTTATGGACAGGTGTTGAGGCAGCAAGTGTGTGAAGCACAAGGTATGATCAGTGATCGTTGAATATATATATATATTCGTCACACCTAAGGTGATGGAGTTTCACAGACAAGTTATGTGGCAATTCTTTAAATGTGAACATCTATCATGAAGGAGATCTCTTAGTATAAGAAGTGACAGCAACTAGTTTTATACTGCAAAAAGTTGGAAATCTTAAATGAATAATCGGTCACAAGTGTTACAGTTGCAGGTATTTCACTGCAGTGCATGGATATCTAGAGAACTAAGTGAATCGATGAGGTAGGCTGTGAGCCAGCTGGTAGAATTATTTAGGAATAAGTGTTAAGAAGCAAAATTCTGTCGACAAATTAAAGGATGATGAGAATAATAGACGCTTCACTTGTAGAGGAATATGGTATTGCTCCAATGACCATTATTAATATATGTGTAAAACTTGGGCACTGTGGTAGTAAGTAATTTCATACCAGTTTGTTCATTAGATATATCACACAGTAAAACAGTATTATTTACTGGATGACGTTTCGAACAAAACTTATTGTTCATAATCAATATCATCTATAACCACTTAAGTTGGAAACTTTCGTTTTATAGTTTTCTGTATTCTTTCTTATTCGTCGTCGTAGGCGTAGTAGAATAGTATACGAGCTTGACTTGTGACCAGAAGGTCCTGGGTTCGAACCCTGGGGGTGGGTGCATACTGCCGATGAATCCCAAGGTAGGATGAAATAGCTGTCCAGTAATTCATGATGGTTTGCATTGGTTGTTTAACTTATATCAAGCCTTGATCAACTCGTACAAACAAATTTAGTCCTTAGAAACCAACTATTGAAAAACAATTAAATCATGAAGTACACTGTCATCGTAATTACTTCGTTGTTGATTTTGTTATCTTCTTGACTGACTGACTGACTGAGTTTCAGCATAGAATTTTGCACAGAATCGTAGCAGTTCAAGTTGCTCCCACATTCTCCATGTACACCACACAAAGGCGGAGTGAAGAGATTCAGAAAATTTGTAGTAAGCAGAAATATGAGGGTGAAAAAAAAGTAGAAAGGTGAAAAAACAAGACGGTTTAGTGGATATGAGAGATCATAAAGAGTGAGTACATTGTGTGCCGTTGAAAATCACCTTTTTGAGCTATGTCATCAATATAACTGGTGGATGGTGACTAGCAGTGGAATCTAGGATGCGCATTTCGTCCTATTTGGGATTCGTCATCTGGATGTTCTTGCATTCCCCAGTGAGTGATGATGCCCCCACCGAGGCTCGAACCCAGTTACATGCACAGACATCGTCGAAGCATCTGCACAAGAAGCCGACATGTCAACTTGAGACAGAGCACTTCGGTCTAATCAATCGACGGGAAAATCTAAAATTCACTTTAATATGTCATCAATAGTCTCAAATCACTCGTTCTTAGCTTCTCAAGGATCACAACGAGACAGTCAAACCATACTGAACTTACTTCCGACCTAATGTTATGTTAGTTCACATTGCCTGTCGTGAGGAAAGCGATGATGGCTCAGCATGTTTGCAACACGTGCCCTAGTTATCTCAATCGATGTGACTTCATAACCTCATCGATTGACTTGATTTTAATTACCTAACCCTCTTCACTCCTAATCTCCATATTGCTCACCATATATTATACCATTTAACATGCATGATAGAGTGCAAACATCTATGGTCATAGACAGTTTTTTTTTTACCTTTTTCGTATTTTCCACTTTTTCAATGATCATGTCTCTTCTTTGAAGTTGAAATATTAAAAATCACTTTCTGAAAAAAAAAATTTGTCTTCTTGTTTGTTTGTTTTGTTTTTTTGTTTATCTATTTAGATTGAAGTTTTCAATCTACTATTTGTTTTATCACAAGATAAAAAATTAGTGGTTAGATGCTTAGATTGTGCACGTCGTATGGATCCTAGTTTAAAAACATTCATTATCCTATCAGAGTATTATATACATGAACTTGCTGAAATCTATGATAAATTCCAGTTGCAAACTGTAAGTTGTTGTTTTTTGTTTGTTTGGTAAGTAATTTTTAAGGTCGTAGATCATTTTACCCACTAGGACCCGATTCAATGGCCAGCCCATGAATACTAACTTCTACCAATTCGTGATGCATTTAGCGCGACTACCAACCAGTGTCATTGGTGGGAACTCCATCCTCACTCCTGACTAGATAGACCTCATGGGTCACGATTTCTCACTATGGCCTCAGGCAACTTCATCCTGTAGCAACCAGAAAGTACTGGACAACTATTTCACCCTGGTTTGCGACTCATCAGCAGCACGCACCCACTGGTTTTCGAACCCAGGTTTTCAATGGTTCTCTAACTGATATCAATCTGTGGTCAAACTCGAAAATCAAATTGAATCCTTACAAATTTTAATTGGATCCTCGCTAATGACTTGCTACAGGACAAAGTTTCTTGAAGTTCTAGTGAGAAGTCGTCACCCGTGAGGTGGTCCATCTAGTCGGGAATGAGGATGCAGTTCCCACCAATGGCATTGGTTGGTGGTCGCTTTAAATGCATCACGAATTGGTAGAAGTTAGAATTCATGGACTGGCCATTGAATTGGATCCCAGTGGCTGAACGTAGTCGTGTAAGGGCTTATGGGGAAATGTCATCTGAATTGGTAACAACCAGTGGTGTCCGACAGGGATGTCCACTTTCCCCATTTCTGTTTAACTTCATCATAGATATGCTGATGGAAGTATCCTTAACTGAGCGTAATGACTTAGGAATCGACTTGTTACCAGGGAATAGTCTTATGGACTTAGAATATGCAGATGACAGTCCTGTTAGGAGAGGATTCTGACAAAATGCAGAGTCTTCTGAACACCTTGAGCAGCAATCTTCGTATGTTTGGCATGCGATTTGCCCCTACAAAATGTAAGATGCTGCTACAGGACTGGACCACGTCAACTCCTAACTTAGTGATAGGGAGTGAAGTGATAGAACATGTTGACCACTTCACCTATTTGGGAAATTGTATTAGCACCAACGGACTGATTGGCGATGAAATCTCAGCACGGATCTGAAAAGCTCGAGCTGCTTTCGCTGACTTACACCATCTCTGGCGTAGGCGTGACATCCGGTTATCAACCAAGGGACGTGTGTACTGCTCAGCAGTTCGCTCCGTCCTTCTCTATGGCTCTGAAACATGGCCAATACGCGTTGAAGACATGAAAAGGTTGACTGCTTTCAATCATAGATGTCTGCGATCTCTGTCTCACGTTAGGTGGTATAATAAGGTAAGTAATGTTGACGTTAGGCGTAGAATGTTGGGCAAACAGGGAAAATCAATCGACGAGGCTATAAAGTTACATAGACTGAGATGGCTAGGTCACGTGCTGCGCATGCCTAACCACTGCCTCCCCCGACGGGCATTGCTAGCTGATATAGGTTCAGGTTGGAAAAGAGCCAGTGGTGGCCAAACAAAAACATGGCCTCATCAATCCATGAAATCCTAGACAGTTAAACTGAGTCGGTCAGGGAGGGAGATTCAGACTCCCGGGTAGGGGCCCTCGGGACTCTAGGAATCAATGGCTGGAGACAATAGGTGACATGGCTCAAAATCGTTGTCAATGGCCAGCGCAGATGTATTCAGTCTCTGTAATCTTTCATATTCCTTTCTACCATTACCCATTCTGTTTCACTCGTCTACTTGTCAGACTGTATTGATTCTCTTCACTCATCTTCTTGTCTACTTCTGTGTGCTATTTGGAAGGTGGCAACTCGAACTGCTGCACTTGGGTGCCAAGTTCTATGTTGAATCCAGACAGACAGGCTGAATGGCATGCCAACTTGCCTTGTAACTGGAAGGTCCCAGTTCCGAACCATGTTGTGTGGGTGCCTACTGCCGATGATTCGCAATCTAGGATGAAACAGCTGTCCATTACTCCTTGGTGGTTTTCAGTTGGTTCTCTAACTGATATCAATCCGTGATCAAACTCATGAAAAATATTTTTTCTCTTCAGTCAACTGAGGTTAACTACAATAGGGAATGATCTAACCAACACTTTTCCGAGATAGCCAGGAAAGTCTGTAGCTCCTGTTATAGAAACTAAGTTTCATTGTTAGAATTTACACTATGATATGATAATGCAGAATGATCTGTGGTCGAAATTCTGTCTTTTAGTGAATGGTGGTATTTCTGTGTGTGATGTTTCTGAAAAAAGGGTAACTAATGTGGAATTACATACTGCCCATTACATTGTTCAAGTTTTATGTAAACAATAATAATTTTTGTCTCCGATTATGAACTGATTTTTCGCTTAATGAGTAATGATCCAAAGTGAAGTGTAAACTGCTTGATAGTTCAGTTTACTTTGTTTAAATTCATCCAACTTAGAACAGATTTTCCATGTTCTAGACCAAGTGCCACACATATTACTATGTTAGGGCTGCTGCCAAGGTTGAAGTAGGTACAGAGGGACTCGAACTCGTCATTCATCGGCTGAAAAATGAGTGTTTAAGTCAATGAGATATAAAAACTAACAACTAATCAATCAGGCTTTCCTTACACTGCGATAAATAAAAGTTATACCTAGTTGTCATTTTATTCCTCATTCACTAGGTTCCTAGTGGAACACAGGATTTAAAAACAGCATATGTTCATTTTATCTTGCTCTCCGCAGTTCTTTGTAGCTGGCTCCACGATGGGCCATAAACTTTTATCTCCTGCCCAGACAATCTCCACTCGTCGTTTTCCATTCTGGATGCACTCCGGAACCGGCTTGGCACATGATGTCACTCAATGGCTCCTCTTCAGTGTGTATCCGATCCATTTCCATTTTCTTGGCTATATTTGTTGGGTAATAGGTTCATGATTGATTCGCTGACAGAGTTACTTGTTGCCAATCCTTTCCGGCCATCTGATCTTCAGTATGGACCGAAGACAGCTGTTGAAAAAAGTCTCCAGAGGCCTGTTGGAAATACTCTATGTGATGCATGTACCAAGTCTCTGAACCATACATAAGAACTGACTTACTTGATATTAGCGTTGAAAATCCGAATCTTTGATTGGACACTAGTAACTAGTGTGACCTGTCTAGTTCTTTCTTTGGTGCAGAAGAAATTCTACCAGTCAGGTTTGCAATGTGGCCACCATTCTAGGTAGCTCACCATCACGGTGCACATTGATTTGATAATGATGACTGATAGAATTCAGTCCGCACCAAAGAAAGGACTAGACATGTCACACTAGTTACTAGTGTCTAATCAAACTACCCACTACAGTCCTACAGGATGTCAATCGCGAGCCATAGTAGCCCAATGGTAACTTCTCTGACTGCAGGTGGCACTGGGTGACGCTGGATCGAGTCTCAGGGGGACATGAGTTTCTTCAGGACTGCAGATACGTCTTGCTGGTGAGTGCAAACTAGCACGAAACCTAGGTTCAAGGCTTCCTGTCTACTGCCTCCAACTATCTAAAATCCGAATCTTGTTCCTTATGATAAGTATAGTAGGGTTTCCACGCTAATTCCAGATTAATGATGATCTGTTTTGCCTTTCTTGATGTGTATACCACCGATGGTTAAAACTATGTGTTCCCTAGACAAGTGAAAGAAGTGACCTCATTCAGATTTCTTCCGTTGATGATGATTGGTAATCCTTTTTATTGTTGAGCAGTTATCTTCATCAACTTTGTCTTCTCTATGTTCACTTGGAGTCCTGTCTTTTACTGCGTCTTCTGTCAGTTTTTTCGACTTTCACTTGTAAGTCTTCGAGTTTGTGTGTAGCATTAGACGAAGTCTATGTGTTCTCTAGAGTCTTCTTATCTGTGTTCCAACTTATTCCTATCTTCCCCCTCTCCACCATCGGTTGCATGATCCATTCTATCATATACGAATGAATAACACATAACCTAATTAACTCTTGAGGTCTTCCAAAAAAGGAGTGCATTAAAATTCTTTGTTCAGAATTTCAGTCTTTATCCTCATTCGTTTTTCTGATATCATGTGTCAGTGAACCCTTCATTCAAATTCGATCCCAATCACACTTCATCGGGTGCGCGAGTGGCTAGTATCATCAGTTCGTACACAATATGTATGGATCAAAGACTTGTACATGAAGAATATGTCCCATGTAATTAGGCCATAACTGCATAACTATTACTAAACAATATGACTCTTCGTAATCTCCCTGTTTCACTGAATGAGATATGAACTACTAACGAACCAAATTGAAATATGATGTAATTCTTTGGGAACTTTGTTTTCTCTCAGACACAACTGCATTCTCCGTTAATTTGGATAGAATCGTTACACGTTTAAGCTTTAAAATACAGATTATATCTTTAGCGTTATTATTGAATAGATCAAATCAATTCACACACAAAAAGGACGTTGGACTATTATTTATAATAAGAATAATAACAACCATGAATATCAAATTGATTGATTACTTGAATATGGCGTTTGAACGAAAGTATCGTGAATTTCAGCATTGTTTCAATGTATGCGTGAATAGTTGTGTTTGGCCTGATCGATAGTCGATAATTCGACTTGATGGTCAAACTCGTACGTTGCAATGACCCCTGAACAAGGGGTCTGACTAGAACTAATATTTCTTTAGGTTCTACCATGCCAGAAAGATCGTTTAGATAGCGTTGCCATCATATTGAGAGTCATCTCCACTGTTTTCGGGGTCTGAAGGCGAATTCATACTGCCTGCAAATGAGATGTTTCCTTCAGATGACCAGCTGTCACTAATCTGAAGCAAGGCAAAGCAGCGGGACCTGATGGAATGGCTCCAGAGGTATTTAAGTACGGTGGAGACAGTTTACTGTCTGCATTAACTGAGGTTATAAGCAACGTCTGGGAATCAGAGGAAGTCCCATCAGGTTGGTGTAAGTCACTGATCATCCCGATATACAAGAAGGTAGACAAGTCTTCCTGTGATAACCACAGATGGGGGATTAGCTTGACTAATATAGTACCTAAAGTCCTAGGCTCAATAATCATACGTAGACTAAGTGGTGCTCGGGAAGTACAAACACGAGAGAGCCAGGCAGGCTTTAGACCAGGAAGAGGGTGTATTGATCATATCTTCACCCTCCGACAGATTCTAGAACATAGACATTCCTACCGGCGTCCAATAGCCACTATATTTCTTGACCTCAAGGCGGAATTCGATTCCATCGACCGAGAGGTTCTCTGGAGATGCTTGGCTGTAAAGGGAATTCCGAGAAAATACATTGCACTGATTAAGGCACTCTACTCGGACTCATACAGCCAGGAGAGGGCTTACGGCGAGTTGTTATCTGAACTGGTGACGACTAGTGGTGTTCTGTCAGGGATGCCTATTATCCCCATTCCTATTCAATTCCTACATGTACTGATGGACTTAACCCTAACTCAATGCAGCGACTCAGGGATTGACTTGCTACCAGGGAATAATCTCGTTGACTTAGAATATGCAGACGATATAGTCCTTCTAGTCGAGGACGCTGACAAAATGCAGACTCTTCTGAACACGTTGAGCTGCAATCTACGAATGTTTGGCATGCGATTCGCTCCCGCCAAATGCAAGATGATGTTACAGGACTGGACTACACTGACTCCTAGATTAGAAATATGAAGTGAAGTGGTAGAGCACGTTGACCGCTTCACTTATTTGGGAAGTACCATCAGCCAGTGACAACGGGTTGATCTCTGACGAAATCTCAGCTGAGTACGGATACAGAGGTCTAGTTTCGCTCACTTCAAATTGAAGTATGCGCTGAAGATGTCACCCAGTAGAGCGATGAAAGCTTCGCAAACTAACCATCCAGCTCAGAGAACAAAACCACATCAAAAGTATTTCAGCTTCCATGTTATGAGCAGTTGGAAAGTAATAGCCTTCCATAGGTAGACAGAGCTTTCCTGATCATTGTCTCTAACTGCAATGCGAGACAGACGGCTTTTTGTACAACTCTTTGATATAAATGATTAATTTTTTTCTTAATTTATAATGACAACAGACTTTTTATGAGTTTTCAAAATAACGAACGATTAGCAGAGATACACTAGACAAAAGAGGGAAAGATAAATATAGTGGAATGCTCTAATGAAAGAAAAGTATAATATATTTTTACCCAAATAAATATAATGATTGTACTAGTTAACAAATTCTTGAAGGAAAGCTGCATTTTTTTTATTTCCTATCGATTGATTATGTTGAACTGACAGGCGCAGTTCCTTTTTGAAATGATAGATGCATCGTTTGAGTCTTAATGGTGTAACATCAATATTCACTAGAAGTTGACGAGTCCCAAATGGGCCAAAATGCGCATGACTTGCATTCCACAGTTGGCCACCACCAAACAAAAAAGTGAAAATCACTTTTTTATCACTGAGAAGTTTTCTTTTACCTCTGTTAATTGAAAGTTTGTCCAAGGTATTTTATTGAAAAGAACGACACGCTCGGTGTCCCTCCGTTTACTAATAGAGTAAAGATGGTGTCGTTGTGTTATTTACTACTTATTGTTGCTTTTTTGAATAATATAATGTATAATCTAATAACCAATTATACTACTGTTATTATTTTCAGCAACCAATTACTGCCTATCCCGTTGGTAAGACTTAATCTTCTATTCTCAAACTGATCGAATTGATCTGCGTTTTGTAAAGTACACGTCATGTGTCTGTTCAATCATGAATCATTGTGTAATGTAAACTACGCAAAACACATAACTTGTAATTTTACTCATTATCATTATTATTAATATTGTAATTTCTCCTCTAATTCCTGTAACAGACTCCAGTGCATACACTTGTCTATTATAATTATTTGTGTGTTGGCTAAAAAATGTGAATGCATAAAAGTATCCAAAGGCTGACTTACAACTAGTTTATTAATTATTTGTAATTTATATACTTGAAATTTTTTTATTCCTAAGATTGGATATATTTTCTAGTTTCATTCACAGTTTGTTTTTGTCCTTTTTTGAAATTACGCCATACGCTCACTAATCTCCTACCCTAACCAACTTTTGCCTCCTGAACACACCCGTTTATGTATACACACACACACACTCCTATGCCTTGAAGTTGTCCCCCCCTTATTTCTCTCATATTTATATTATTGTATGAATTCAGTTTGTTTTATTGTTTTCTTTTGTTTATTTACTTATTTATTTTGTTTTCTTTTGTAATTTTGTTAAAATAAAACTTTATTTGAATTTATGTAATACTCCTTGTCTGACAGGGATACCCACTATCCCCATTTCTGTTCAATTTCATCATAAATGTACTAATGGAATTAACCCTAACTCACTTCAGAGACTCAGGGATTGACCTGTTACCAGGGAATAATCTTATTGACTTTGAACATACAGATGATATAGTCCTTGTAGGTGAAGAAGACGTTGACAAAATGAAGAGTCTTCTGAACACCCTGATCAGAAAGCAACTGTCGAATGTTTAGCATGCAATTCCCTTCCTCTATAAAATGTAAGATGATGTTACAGGACTGGAATACATTGACACTCCTAGCTTAAAGATAGGCAGGAGAGAAGTGGAAGAGCGTGTTGACCACTTCACTTATTTGGGAAGTTGTATCAGTCAGTGAGAGCGGGTTGACTCTTCACGAAAGCTCAGCTCGAATGTAGAAGGCTCGTTTCGTATATGCCAGTTTACGCCGTCTCTGGCGTAGACGTGATATCTGGCTAGCTGGTTGTCAACCAAAGGGCGTGTGTAATGCTCAGCATTCCGCTCCGTCCTCCTTTATGGCTGTGAGTCCTGGCCACTGGAAGCGGAAGGCATGAAAAGGCCAGTTAGCTGTCTTTGATCATAGGTGCCTGGGTTCTAACTTTCGCGTTGAGTGCTATAATAAGGTGAGCCATTTTGAGATCAGGCCTCAGTAAGTGACAGGTAGTTGGGAGGAGAAATCAATCGACGAGATTGTGAAGCAACTGCATCGATTGAGATAGTCTGCTATTCTCGGCGGGATTTTGGTAGCGGCTTGATATGATTGGTCAGTGTACACGATATCTGGTGATGGACTTCATGAGCACGAATCCTGATTGCACACTGTGGAACTTTCAATAGGATCTCTTGCATGGTCCCACGTATCACTACTCCTTCTCTAAACATCAAACAATCATTAACTGTACTGAGACTGTGATGCCAGCGAAATAACTGCTTGTGGTCACGATTTAACAAAGAAGCTCGCTAAGAGTTTTGAACGACCTCAGGAGCCTTTTGTAAAGTGTCATCTCTTTCTGTGGTCTCTCTTATTTGTTCTGCTGTAGTTGGCAGTTCCTCTATGGCGCACTTTAACAAATTGAGTGTAACTTCCAATCTTTAAGAGCCGCAATAACCGTTTCTTTGTTCGAGATGGTATTCATTGTTTTAACTCTGCTACACATACTCTTTAAAGCGATTTCCAAGAGCCAGTCAAATCCCAACATATCTAGGTTTGAAATATTCTCACAGCACATAATCCAACAAACTGGATCAAATGGAAACCAACATCATATATGAACTGACTATTTGGATGAAGTTTCCCTGCAAATGCACTGATTATGATTTTATTTGTCTTCTTTATGATATATCTGATGCAGTTTCTATCTGAAGACGTGTCAACTGCAATTTAATTGTCACATCAGTATATTTAAGTGTTGATAAGACAGACAGATGTAGTGTGTTCATACCTTTAGGCATGAGACACCATTGAGAGCAACTTCTGAACTTTGGTCGATTAATCTACCTTCGAAAGCCATCTTTATGTCCGATGACATCACATCGTTGGCATTTGTTTTTAAATAGGCATGTCATGACATAGTGACAAGCGCCTCAGTTCCAGGATGGTGAAGGCTGAGAACAAAGCTGTGAGTTTGCTGTCGACGGTACTAGATGCACCGCAAGTACTCCTGCTGTATTCTGACTACCGGAATGGACCAAGGATGTTAAGTTTATGAAAGTTAGTTAGTCTCTAATACATATCTTCAGTATCCTTCTACGTCATGTGTGGGTCTTGCTCTACTCTATTCAACAAAAATGATGTCATATCGGCAAACTTTGGAGACCTTAACCCACAGCTGTTCCTTTCTCAGTGACTTCAGCTTAAACTGTTTACATGTGCAGCTAACCCTACCCAGCTGTATATGAATATCGTCGTCTTCGTTCAGTACGAATTTCTTACATTGGTATAGCATATTCAACTATGGTCACTGAACTTTTGACAGATTATCTGAATGGTTTCGTCGAACGTTTTGTCATTGAGCCACTGAAATAGGACCAAGTTGTAGTATTTGTCTAATTCATCCGTCTAAATTCCAGATGAGGGGTGTAACTATCCAACCGTCGTCTGTTGTTGCGAAATCCTCCTAAAATTTGTCTTTAGGTCTGCAGAACCAAATAACGAGCGTAATGCCCTCGTCTGAGTCATAAAATAAATTCCTGACATACCGCTAAGTAGTGTACACAGAAGAAATCGGTTCAGTATAGAAATAAAGACAGGTGGACAATCCGTCAGTCATCTCACTGAAGCCACTACCTTCCGGTTACAAGCCGAGCTCGTAGATCATTAACCTACTGGGATCCAATCCAATGGTCCATGAATTCCAACTTCTGCCAATTCATGATTTGGCGCGACCACTAGCGAATGTCATTAGCGGCGAGTATTCGTCCTCACACCCGACCTGCTGGCGCTAGTGGTCGCACCAAGTGGCGAATTGGCATAAGTTTGAATTCATGGGCTAGTCACCAGACCGTCCCAGTGGCTTAATGATCTACGAGTCCACCTTGTAACCAGAAGGTACTGGCTTCGAACTTCATTATGTCCATACTGCTGAAGAGTTCCAAACTAGGGCGAAACAGCTGCCCAGTACTCCCAGTTGGTTTTCCAATGGTCCTCTAACCGATATCAGTTCATGATCAAACCCTGAAACCATTCAAATCCCTGCAAATCAACACTTGAATAATAGAAGTATTCAAACATTGTTGTATTCATAAAAATTTCTGCATAAACACCTAAAATAATGTTTACAACTAACTTCTTCACGAAAACGGCAATACGGATGTTGCCTTAATTGACATTATAGGGTATGTCGATTCAATTTTTAACTCAGATGGAAATGTAACCATAAAAAGTAACTAATTTGAAAGACTAGAGCTAATGAATAGTGATATTTCATTCAACCTGAAACCCATAGGTTTTGTACATGTTGGTGTTACCAGTGTGTGGTCATATAGGACTAAATTAAAATGAAATAGATATTAATTTGTGACTTTATCTGCCTTGATAATCATTTTTGTCGTCTGTACACAATAAAATCAAACATTCTAGAAAGATCCGGTTTCTTAAAACCCTAAGCCCAGTGCTCTAATCGACCCTTCATTTTAATGCATATATACTTTACGTGTAACATCGCTTTTACCCGAAACTTTGCAATGAGATTCAGAGATGATTTACCGTTTCATTTTGTACCGTTCACCATTAGTGTTCGTGAAAGTTTACATTAAATGTCGAACTACTTAAAGTAGTTTCATCTTCGTTTGCAAATTTAGTCTTATCATTTAGAAAAATGTTTTTCTGTAACTAATCGCATAAATCTATCCGTGTTTCAACTTCTCTGCCTAAAAGCCGTATCTGACGCTCACTAGCGACTGGCCTTATTCACGTAGGTAATTACCTGGGTTCTAATGGGAATTCGTGACCAGTAGGGTACAGAAGGTTGAAGGTAAGGCAGGAACACATCGAAGAAGAGTTTGGCTAGTGCCAGTCGAGAATTGGCAAAAGTTGGAATTCATGGACTGGCCATTGGATCAGGTCCCAGTAGCTTAATGGTTTACGAGCTCGCCTTGTAACCAATTGGTCCTGGGTTCGAACCCTGGCGGTGTGCACGTACTGTTGAAGATTTCCAAGCACTAGAACGCAACTGCTGTTCAGTACTCCCAGTTTGTTTTCCAATGGTCCTCTAGCCGATATCAGCTCACGATGAAATCCTTCAACCAATCAAACAAAATCCCTACAAAAACCAATATCTATTAATTTCCCCTGAGAAGCTTTATGTCCCTGTATCTCCCGTGTGTAAGAGTCGAACTCAGTACCTATCTTCTCAAACTCCAAAATATCGTTCAATGGGACATGACAACCGATATGTAAACAGAGACGGTGCATTTCGATGCATCAATTGAACTCACGTAGACAACATCATGGGTCGACATGAAACGTTACCGGATATCTGCATTTGTTCTTGACTGAAACTCTTCAATGCTTTGTGCACACAGTCTTACTGTATTCCTACCTACCCATGGAATGATACCATAACTTTTGTGATAGATTATTGTCTTGTTTTCAGTCCTGTAAGGGACTACGTGTTTATATATACATAGATTGTTATATTAGGACGAAACAACTGTGAACATTCGTTTCTAAAGGTCCTTCCAACTTAAAAACAATATGGGTAAAATTTATTTTGATAAAGTCTCACAGTGTTATACAGTAATATTTACTGATAACCACGTTTCGAGGACAATTTATTGCTCAAAAGTAACTCGTTAGTAACTGTTAAATCAATGGTATTTTAATACTTGACGAATTGTATGTTTCTCCACGTACTGAAATGTGATTTAGTAGCA